GGCATTGCTGAAGTCCATGGGCGACGGTAACCACTTACCATCAGGTGGGCCGTACGCTCGTCTGCCTACAAAGGCAATAAAAAAAATCATTAACGAAGACAATAAACGTTACGTTAATTACAAAGCAGACGTACGTATAAATTCGTATTTCGTTCGGATCGTGATCGCAATACATCTGGCGTTCCAAACTTGCCTCAAATTGTCGGTCGGTACGTGAGGAAATCTGCACGATTCGGGATTAACGACAAATGCCCCTTTTGATGAAGCCCGACGTCCGTGATAGCCCGGTCACATCCGACTGGTAAGTGCCGATTTTCAGGCTTTCAATTCGATCATTAAATATGGTTTCGATTTTACTGTTAAATTTGCATTTTTGGAGTCAATCAAAAACATTAAAAAGCAAAACATTTAAGATATAAATTATATTGACATTGATTATGATTGTGGTGATGTGGTTACCGGAATCAACACTCAATTACTTCCAATTACATTTTGAATAACCCGCAATGAATCAAAATGGTAAATCAAAGAATTTGGTGATGATGATGATGCATTATAAAATTACAATAATGAGTTTTTTATACTCTCATTAACTATACAAAGGTCAGGTATAAAGCAAATTACATAGACAAGGTCATTTATACTAGAACAAAAGTATTATTTCCGAGAGATAGATTTTTACACTAACGCGAATGGAACCCCGTGTAAAAGCTAGTGAGACTATAATAATAGCTTTTTAGTTTTTTTGTTACCAATGAAATAATCGATTAAATATTACGTGCTACTTGTTTAATAAAAAGAAAAAGGTGCATCAACATCGACTAAACTATAATGAATTAAGAAATATAATTAACTAAATAAAAAAAATATGCAAAAACTTATCAGTTTACAGAGTTATAAAAATGATCGTGCTCTAAGGGAAAAGGCTAATATAATCGGCTAAACGTGACTAGCTTGAATATATTACCATAATCTAAAGCTATCGATTTTTCCGCCTACCTCTTTAATAGAATTATCGGAAATTCATTGCATGGGGAGAAACGCCATAATGCTATAATCAAATTACAATTTCAGCTTAGCTATGCATTCGTTCGCATTTAGAAATAGCACCTATCTCGATTGACAATAAAATTTCTTAAATAAGACATTAAAAAGATAAAGGTAGGTTTTTAATTTGAATATGATCGCAAATAGAGTATTTTCTGCAAATAAAATGAAACAAGGTAGTTCAATTAAAAATCTAGAACGATTCAAGTGATTTTAGTTTCAATTAATCTCGTCTAAGGATAATGTGCCACTAAAGACACATTGCATTTTCCGTTCAAGAAAATTCGCTCTATTGTAATATGTTCAATAATAATTTCATTTGCCAACAGGATATAGGCAAAATAAATAACAAGGGCATATAAAAGCATCGCCCCGAGTGTGCGCCACACGATGCGGTCGCAAATCGATTCAGCAACAGGTCTGTATGAGAAAGGCGCTTCAAGATATAATAACTTCATAACTTAAATTTTACATGCCTCACGTAAAACTGAGTCCGTAGATGCTTACATCTATTTTATATCTACTTTTACATCTACATTTTTTACTGGTGGTAGGATCTCTTGTGAGTCCGCACGGGTAGGTACCACCACCCTGCTTATTTCTGCCGTGAAGCAATAATACTTTTCGGTTTGAAGGGTGGGGCAGCCGTTGTAACTATACTGAGAGCTTACAACTCATATCTCAGGGTGGGTGGCGGCATTTACGTTGTAGATGTCTACGGGCTCCAGTAACCACTTAACACCAAGTGAGCTGTGAACTCGTCCATCCATCTAAACAATAAAAAAATTTAAAAAAAGCATATCTGGACATTATATATCGGTCACTACTTTTTCCTGACTTTCAAAATTTCTCGTCGCCCACAGTCCGCTTAATTTTTCAAGAATACGTATAGTTCAATGGATCCTAAGAGTGACGGTACCAAAATTTCAAAGAGCATCAGACGTACATAAATGTACAGAGATATCGATCTCTAATCACAACTTTTGTTTGTTATGCACTGCATAAACTAATAACAAACACGCTAGTAACAAATGTTCCATACACAAGTAGATTAAGGTTTAAGTAAATTGGCTGTTTCATTTTCCATTGGAAAGTTTTTCGTTCCACCACTTTTTCGTTGACTCTCCGTCGCTTGGGATGAACTTATTTTTTTTATTGTTCTAGACAGTCAGTCCGGCCCTCCTGTTGTTGCGCTGTTACCGAAGCCTGTAGATATCGTATGAACGCTACCACCCAATACTAAAAATGAAAGCCTCAATTCTATATTGTACCGGATATCCCACATTTCAAATTGAATAAGAAGGTCAATAATACCAATCAAATACAGTATCCAGTATGCCCTGTCTGTCACTAACAATACGCAATTTTTTATTAATGACGATTTCATTTTTATATCAATGATAAAATGTTTTTCTTACCGTGAAAATCACTTGAGACAGGTCACAAAATCATTTGATCATTTGACAGGTCACAAAATTAATCAAAATCATTTGGTCAATCATCATCATCAATCAAAATCACTTGAGACAGGTCACAAAATCATTTAAGTGGTAGGCAGCGGCTTGGCTCTGCCCCTGGCATTGCTGAAGTCCATGGGTGACGGTAACCACTGACCATCAGGTGGGCCGTATGCTCGTCTGTCTAGAAGGGCAATAAAAAATAAAAAAACTAGTATTGTGATTTTCTTCATTTTTCATCCATAAATCAAATTTCTCTTCTAATAGGGAACGCTATGTGTAAGAGAAGCGACCTAGCTCGCTTTGTTCTTTCCCTCTCTCCACATTCGAGTGGTCCGCGAAACACGCCGTTTATTTTCTCACTCTCTGTCCAGCTATTTATCCCACATGGTGGTGTAGTCAGCATTCATTACTTTACTCCTCCGCTCCGCTCTGTCTTCGGCATCCTCGTCAGCAACATTGCATTCCCTTTTATCCTTCATTACTACATCTTTCCACCTTGTCTTGGGTCTACCGTTAGGTCTCCGACCGGGGAGGTCGAGCAGTAGTGCCAAATTTCCGACGTAGTCAGGTGGCTTCCTTTTTACGTGACCATACCATCTCAGCCTACTCTCCTGCATCTTGTGAGCGATGTCCCGAACACCCGAGGCTGCGACGCACGTACTCGTTGCGGATTTTATCGAGCCTAGTCACGCCGCACATCCACCTCAGTATCTTATTATGGCCTTAACAGGCCTTATTATGGTCTTATAGATCAAACCTTTGAGTTTAATGGGCATCTTCCTGTCGCAAGTGACACCACTTACTTCTCGCTAATTTAGCCACGCTGCGGCTATTCGGTGTTGAATGTTGCATTTTAAGTTCCCAGATCTGTGCATCATACTACCCAAATACTTGTATTGCTCCCACATGTTTACAAGTTGTCCGTCGATGGAAATCGGACTGTTGTCACCTGGTTCTGGGTCATTAAAAGACATGGAGGTAATATGTCTTCGCAACACCCAATACTAGGCCACCGGCCTGTAACTGCTGTTGCCACAACAGGAGTGACTCTCGTAACTCTGCGCGGCTCTCGATGCAGATAGCAACGTCGTCTGCATAGACGAAAGTCCACGAGGCTGAGGACTGCGCCACCTCAGTGAGTTAATCAGTGAGTGAGTCTAAAACTCTCGCTATTCCTAAATTGTATATTTTTCCTCTAGCCGTAACGAATCTGTCGCAAGTTAAATTTATTCTCAACGCGCCTAAAGAGGTACTTCACTTCATAAAAGTAAAAACATACAAACGTCTCATTTACGTCTATTATGGTCTACCAATTACTTAGCTATTGATAAGTACATCAAACACAGGTATATCAGAAACAGGAAATCAAATTCATCCGCCTTCTTTTCTTTATTCCCAAGGCGACAATACGTTTTCTCTTTTTTCCCATTACGGCCATTTTTTTGTTAGCATCAATTGAAGGAGTGAAAAAATCCAATTAGGAAAAATCGTAGACACTGCAATAATCTGTCTGAATAAATGTATAATAAACCTTACCTGAAAGGTTTGTTTTTATTAATCCAATTATGCTACTAGTGATAGGACGTAACGTAAGTTCGTAATATTAGTAACATGAACATCGCAAATATGAAGGCTTGACAACAGGCAGGTCATCAGGCAAGACACGGGTCGTCGTGGCCTAAAGGATAAGGACGTCCGGTGCATTCATGTTGAGCGATGCACCGGTGTTCGAATCTCGCAGGCGGGTACCAATTTTTCTAATGAAATATGTACTTAACAAATGTTCACGATTGACTTCCACGGTGAAGGAATAACATCGTGTAATAAAAATCAAACCCACAAAATTATAATTTGCGTAATTACTGGTGGTAGGACCTCTTGTGAGTCCGCGCGGGTAGGTACCACCGCCCTGCTTATAACTATATATTGTAACTATACTTGTTACTATACTTGTTACTATACTTGAGACCTTGGAATTTATATCTGAAGGTGGGTGGCGCATATACGTTTTAGATTTCTATGGGCTCCATTAACCACTTAACAACAGGTGGGCTGTGAACTCGTCCACCCATCTAAGCAATAAAAAAAAGGTCATAAGATCTTTGGGAATAAATTAGGGCGGGCCCTGAAACTGCAATCACTAAGACAAAATTTGTAATTGTATGGAAACTATCGACATCTTGTAGTGGATGCCCCTAAACTTATATGTTGTTAAAGTTAAGGCATCTAATTATTGTGTAACTAAACACAGAAAATAAAAAATAAATGTATTTATTTAATGTTAAAAAAATTATTTTGTAAAATTAAAAAAGGCAATTAAAATCTTCTCATCTTCTTCAATCTGCCTCCAAGGTAATTCAATAAAATATCTTCCATGCATTTCAATTAAAATGATCAATGGTCTGAATTTAGGATTTTTGTATATTTCAGCAATATACTTATACTCTATTATTTCCTCTTTTATCTGTAAATTTTAATTAAAACAAGTTATAATACTTTTGTCAAATTATTTTATTTTCACTTATTAAACTTCCTATGTTTATATGTAAAATGATTTACAACCATCTCAGCAATGTTTTGTCTAGAAAAAAGAAATCTCAGGTTCCACCTAATATACAAATGTTATCAGCGGCACGTGAATGTGTTTAATGTCAGGATGTGAATGCTATAAAAAGGTCAGATTTTTTTTGCATCAGAAGAATGTTGTGCTGTCTGTAAGGTTAGCCCACGATTTATTAACGAAGCACAACTACTATGTAAGATCTAGCTGAATAATATATGAGTACATCAATTACAATAATTAAGGTTAAGATAATGTCATGGTAAATCCAAGTGGTTTTCAAATTGTATCGCTAAAAGATCAGGTGTCCTTAATAAAGCTGAGTCCATCACAACACATGCTGGTGTTTCCAAGCCGTGTACTAATATCTCCGAACCATCAGGTTTCCAACTGCTGAATTTGGCTTTTAAAGAACTTTTTTCATATGTCAGAATTGTACACTCAAATCCTGAAAATTAATGTGCAAAACTTTAATGACTTATAATAATTAAAATGTCAACGCATATGGTCTCCCATAACAAAGTGGACAAGTTTATTTTTCAACTAGCGACCCGCCCTCGCTTCGCTTCGGAAGACACATGAAACCAAAAAAAAAAAAAAAAATAGCCTATGTTTATCAGGGACAATGTCGGCTTCTAATGGAAAAAGAATTTTTGAAATCGGTCCAGTAGTTTCGGAGCCTATTCGAAACAAACAAACAAACAAATCTTTCCTCTTTATAATATTAGTATAGATAGGTCATAATAGTATATGTACTTTATATAGACGAAATTGGTACATAATTGTCAACAAATCTCACTATCCCATTGTAGACTGATTTCTAAGGAATAAAACATCTTCCACATCGCATTGGTGGTAGATTTGTACTAATATACACCAAAGTTTTATCTACTAGCTGACCCGGCAGACTTCGTAGTGCCCCAATCGATAAATAAAAGACCTAAACATTTGTATAAAATAAACTTAAAACAAACAAAAGGAATCCGTCCGACGGGGGACACATCAAAGGAAAAACAAAATTGTTATTTTTATTTATTTTATCTACCTTTTAAACATTCTCTGGACTTCTACAAATAATTCAAGACCAAAATTAGCCAAATCGGTCCAGCCGTTCTCGAGTTTTAGCGAGACTAACGAACAGCAATTCATTTTTATATTATCTACTAATAAAAGGCATTTCCTACCGAATTATCAATTATCTAAATCTATAATCTTAGAAATCTTAAATGTGTTAAATGTATTTAAACTTAACAGTTTAAAATAAATTTACAAAAAGTAAATAAAGTTGATTTATGTATACCACTTAGTTCTCTTATTGATCTTAAAAATGATTCACGCAATTTAGTTGCTGCTTCTTGCTCTGAAGTGGAAGATATAATTTCTTCAGATGACATTGTTTGGAGATCTAACAACTTCCAAAAGATTAATTCAACATTAAAACATTTAGGTATGTACGGCACCGTTTAGACATATTTCTTGACAGAATTGTTTTTTTTTGGTATGTTTACTTTTCATGCTTTTCTTACTTGTCCTTTAGACAGGCAAAAGAATCATGACCCATAGTGCTAATGGTGTTATAGCGCCAAAGTTTTTATATTTTTGTGATTTTACAGTTGAAACAAAATTACTTCTTCCCTAAAGCTTACTATTATTTTGAAAATGGAATTTGCGGTTGTACTTTTCTGTCTCTTTGAGTCTAAACTTTAGACCCTCTATTTGAAGTATGTTGTGCATTTTAATGATCAAATTAACAAGTTTTCCCGTTAAAGTTACATACATCGACTCTAATCTATCGCTATCGATCACATACTGGTGGTAGGACCTCTTGTGAGTCCGCGCGGGTAGGCACCGCCACCCCGCCTATTTCTGCCGTGAAACAGTAATGTGCTTCGGTTTGAAGGGTGGGGCAGCCGTTGTAACTATACTTGAGACCTTAGAACTTATATCTCAAGGTGGGTGGCGCATCTACGTTGTAGATGTCTATGGGCTCCAGTAACCACTTAACACCAGGTGGGCTCTGAGCTCGTCCACCCATCTAAGCAATAAAAAAAACATCATTCGGTTTAAAAAAAATAGGTAGGTAAGTAATAAATTAAATAAAATTTTAATATGATTAAATCATAACTAGGCTATTCGCTGGTAGTTTATGAAGGTATTCCAGCTACGCCCAGTTAGAGCAGTGCTTCACAAAATCTACCACCGCTTCGGAATTGCGACCCACTGCGATCCGGCGAGAAACCCAGTGGGCTGTATCTATGGTTAATCATGTGGTGTAGACAGTAGAAGTAAATATTAAATTTTTTTAGCGATTTTCAAGTCAAAATAATGATATTTCACAAAGTAAGTGATTTCATCATCATTTTGATATTAATAATTTACTATCATACTTGTACTTTTTTAAATGTAGGCGACCAAATTAGGTACGGCCTCTACGTTCAGCTAACGGCTAATTTGGTATTAAGTTCTTAATTGAGCCATAGATCAATGTGAATGTCGCCACTCAACACGAAGCCCAATTGTGTTGCATAGGAACAGTTCCACTTTTCAAACAGGGCCACTTAAATGCTCTGTCAGAGATAGATAATTATTATTAACTACACTTGCGGACTTCTTCCCTTTACACCGAAACCTTTCAGCCGCAAATTGCTAGTGAGAAGCAGAGGCGATTTTGTTTAATTTGTACAAACCAATCACAATCGTTCTGCTTTATCGGATTTATACGAAAACAGTCAAACCCAGCCGGCGCTGGTCAATATTTTATATGATTTTAATCCAATCGCTACCACAGAATCATCCACATAGTCTAGCAGCTAGGAAAATTTCAGGAAGTATTCATCGAAATCGTTCCAGCAGTTCCAGAGTCTACAAGGAACATATACACACATCGACTTTTATATAACAAATTAAATGTTTACTAACACTCGATATGTGTAATAAAGGACAGCCATATCAAATGCGCGAACAAGCGGCGGGAACATAGTATAGGGACTAAATGAAAAACTTTTTAATGGTTAACTTTTATTTGTTTGAAATTAGTCCTACTCACACTTTACTATCCAAAGAAAAAAATTAACAAACATTAGGATGAAATAAAAATGTCATAAATACCTGAAACACTCCTCATTGGAGACTCGTTTTAGGAATGAGTGACCATCCTAGGGATCGAACAATTTGCAGAGGTAGTTACATGTTTACATTATTTATAGACAATAATCTAAATCTTCACTTCTTACACACTTCAATAGAGGATTTAAAAAAATTAACAGCTACATAATCTTGTTTGAAAAGAAGTGTGGAAGAGGCGGATTAAAGTGCCCATCTGAATTTAGACGACATGCATTGCATCTAATGTTTGGAAGGTTCACTAACATCGAAATAATCTTATAATTATTATAATATGACTATCCTAGGTCACCTCGAGACAGATGGTCGATTACTGCACTGGTTGAACTCTTCGCGGGGGTGTCTTAATTTCATAAGTACCTCATTGTCTGTGGTCCTCTCCGAGAAGCCGGCCATCTTCCTTCATATTTTCCCCACTGAAAAGTCCATGGAGGAAGCTAGTAAAGGTAGCTTGAGTAGAGCTAATGTGGAACTGATCAATCAATGAAATTAACCCCAGAGAGGGCTCCATAAATATATATATATATATATATTTGTAATCAGTGGACTTAACTTGTTAATCATTGATTTTTCATTTCCACTTTGGGATTGGGGTTATTATTAGTTCAGTATTATGACGTCATATTTCGGTTCTTGCAATTTAAAGAATATTTGATTATTGATTCATTCATGCTATGTAATTTTATAGAAATATGACATCACTATATTTGGGTACCTGGAAATACATGGTAGATGTGAACACAGCATCCAATATTGTGAAAGAAGCACAACAGTGCGCACTTCAAGACTCCTTTAAATGGCAGTTTTGTGGTAATTTTCTATGTTATAGTGTTTAAATTAAGAAATATTTTGGATTTTTCCAGTATTAGAACAAAGTTTCATGTATTTTAGAAATATATTGAGAATGGCATGAGCATTTGTTTTTTCCTCGTTAGTGGGATAATTCGTGCGATTTTTTAAAATTATATTTAACTTTAAGTACCTACAATATAGGTATTACCTATATCAATTTATGGTGGCCATTACATGTATTCATATCATAAAAATGTTCGGTATGGAATAAAATTGGACCCTATTTCAGAATAGAATTAATTGTCTTCATTGTTGGACACAAGTACCCTAACAAATACCTGGCATCGCATTAGCGACGGGCGCCAGACGACTCTCACTCGCGACGACGAAACACGACACGCTGATATACCTCAAAAATAAATAACGACAACGAAGCGACCTGCACACGGCTGAGAAGATCTTATTCGTAAATCGTTCGTTGCCTCCGTGGCACACGCGAACAACGATTAACAAATAAGTTCTCTAGCTCTCGGCTCTCGGAAACTATTCAAAATACCAATCAAATACCTGCCATGTCCGCCGGTGTGACGACAACTACGTTACAGAGAGTGCAACGGGGTCATTTATTCCCGATATGTATGCCATATACCGAAGTTATATTTTGGTATGCTACACATTAAGCTGCAAAACAACATTGTTCACTTTATTACTTATTGTATTAACAGTCGGCGGATGTTGAAATAAAAGAAAAAGAAAAAAAAAACATGAGTGATAAAAAAATAATCGGACTGTATGGCATAAGATGGATTGATTGTGTGTCGTATCCGGACGTCGCGTACTGTTAAATTGATTTATTATACTTACCGGATCGAGGTGCTTTTGTGATACCTCAGTCAAGTGCTAGTGGCGATCTCGAGATCGACGACGGGAGCGCTCGTGAGACGACCCTGAAGATGAAATCTTTATGTTACCAACTATTCCATTACATTGCACCGGTTTACGCCTGTGTATTTTTTTTACTACTTACTTTACTGTAAAGGGGGGTGACAGAAAATCAGCGCTGTTCGATTTATCGACTTTGAACAGCATTAGCTGAGCCACTTCCTTTTGCCTTTTTCTTTTTTTCTTTTCTTTTATCTATATTTCATTTCATTTAGTGTGAAAGGTAATAAATGATTTTATTATTACTATTATTCGGAAGATATATCTGGTCACGCACTTTAATAGGTGAGGTTGAAATATGAACTCTTTTATTAATGGCAATCCCGCCTCTCAAACCGATACCCCTGACTACTTCACATCTGTCGAAAAATTTACCCGTGGGGACTACCACCGGTCGCCACGCTAAATTAAGTTTGCGTATTACGTTTTCATAACTCTGTAGCTCTTAACTAATACACCGGTTCTTATTAGTAAAAAACAGATTTACTAACTTCTTTCTTTACGATGTTTTCGTTCCCGGTCGCGATCACGTTCACGGTCCCGATCCCGCTCTTCGTGGCGGCCGCCTCGCTCGTCTCGACTTGATCTATCACATTTCAATATCATATTTTTTTATCATCTTTATATGTCTGTTTTCTATCTTATGTGAAATTGAATTAAACATTAATATGTAGGAATATAAGAATTTCATTAAAAATAGTTATCAAATATGTAATTATTGGTAGGCCATTATCGAATTTATATTGATTCTCTATTTTTAATACATAAAATAATGTATATGGTTTTTACCAAAATTAAGCCTTTAAAGTACAGCTATAGGATATGTGACCATGACTTCCTCAGTCTACTAATTATACATAATTTGGAGCAGTTGTTCCCTCACCTTATTTTCTAAGTTATCTCCAGCTCTCTGACATTATGTCCAAAAATATGATGCATATGATGCAAGGGCGGCATATAATGCAAGTAAACGGTAGTTGAAGTACCAGAAGTTAACGTTAAAGTTAAGCCAATCAGATACTAGAATAATATCAGTAAGAAGACGTTAAAGTTACGTACCGATCGCGATGTCGGTCCCTCTCACGTTCTCTGTCCCGTTCCCTCTCGCCTCTCTCGCTTCGTTCGACGCGATCGCCGCGTTCTCCTCCGCGTTGTTCACCACGTTCTCCTCGTTGGTCACTACGTTGGTCGCCGCGGTCTCGCTCCCGCTCTCGATCGCGTTCCATGCGTTCTCGATCACGGCGATCGGATCCGAGTCCTCCAGAACGAGTGTTTCTTTCTCTTTCCCTCTCTTCACGACGCCTCTTCTCTTTTTCTTGTTGTTCTTTCTCACGAGCTTCGGTCATGTCTTCGTAAGCTTGGCGAAGTTTGAAGTATCTGTATATGAATATTGAATACATACCTATTATATTATATAGTCTAACATTTATATGCATTTTAAAAACAAAATGCTCTATATCAATACTTTTAATTTTATGTAATTTTTTCAATCCTTATTTAAAAAATTGCACTGAGGGAAATGCTAATTTGCTAAATTTAAGTGGATGACTTTGCTACAATTTCAGATATAGGAAAATATACATAATGATAATAGTGGTTCTTTTTTAAACAGTAAACACCAATGGTTTATATCAATTCATTAACAATTAAATTACTTAAAAAAATATTTCTATAATTTTAGTATGCTAAATTGTAGTTACGAAATAACGGATTTCAATGATTCATCTTACCCAACATGCTGTTTCCCAGACAAGTGATCATCGATTCTCTGTTGAGCGTCGCCAACAATAAGAAAGGCTCCGCATACAGGGCAGACTTCCATTTGCTTCTCCTGAGCAGCTGCTAGTTCAGCTGTCATAGACCAATGGCTGCAAAAGAAATTGGAAGCTGTTACTGTAATATTGAATGTATCTAAATAAATACAGTCAGGCAGACTATCTGTGTTAGGTGGAAGAGCTAGCCGAAATCTTAAATGGTAAATGATCAGTTAAAAACAACTACTTAAAGCCATTGAAAAATATTGGAAAAATTACTTAAAAATTAGAAATTGACGATTGAGAAGTTTGTCATTATTTCGTTAACTTTCTAGTAGCTGACTGATTCAGTGATGCAGTATTTAGAGCCTAACAGTCGACGGTCGTGGGTTAGATTCAAATATTCATATTATGAACAGGTTTGTTTGCTCTTTGTCTGGACTTTTTTTTTTATTCCTTAAATGGGTGGACGAGCTCACAGCCGACCTGGTGTTAAGAGTGGTTACTGGAGCCCATAGACATCTACGACGTAAATGCGCTAGCCACTTTGAGATATAAGTTCTAAGGTCTCAAGTATAGTTACAACGGCTGCCCCACCCTTCAAACCGAAACACATTACTGCTTCACGGCATAAATAGGCGNTCAAACCGAAACACATTACTGCTTCACGGCAGAAATAGGCGGGGTGGTGGTACCTACCCGGGCGAACTCACAAGAGGTCCTACCACCAGTAATTACGCAAATTACAATTTCACATTCACTATCTATATACATATTTATATATTTAAACATATGTCAGTCTCATACCCATAGCATAGTGAGTTCTAATTTGAGGCCAGGTGACCGTGTGTAATTTTTCCCAGTTATTAATTTATTTATCTGGTAGCTATTTTATTCTAATATAATATATACTTAGAACTTTATTATGAAATCTAAATATTCACCTATTTTCTTGTTGTTTAAGCAGCTGTTCTTTTTCTTCCTTGAGCCTGTCACAAAGCTTCATCAAACCCTGGGCTTGCTCTACATCCCCTCTTATACCCGCTTCTTCAGCTTCTTGTACCAAGCCCGTAATTTTTTCAGACAGCAACGAAACCTGGAAGCAAAGTTTTGATAAATATATATGCAAAATAAGTTATCAAAGCTATTAACACTCCTTTAAGTGGACTGCCAATCTTATTCATAATTGTTGTTTCATAAAGTGGAAATACTCATTAACAGTTTGATTTCTTTAAGTACCCTTTTAAAAAAGTTTGATTACAAAAACAAAACTGATTAAAGTCAGCCACATTTTTTGATCATTGAGATGTGCTTTGTTTAAGTTCATACATTCAACATCCTTGTTTCGTGTTTTTTAGTTTTTATTTGACCATTTTTTTTTGGAATGCTAAACAATGGCCACACTATTACCTTAAATTAAATTAATTCAAATAGGAAAGCATTTTGACAAAGAGACACCCATTTTCATTAGATAACTACAGCTACAGATAGAAACTTACAGCAAATTTAACCAAACAAATGGTTATGACCGATAATCAATCAACCACAATCTTTTTAAATTAAAAGTTTTTATCTGACATGTAATTAAGACCTATTTATGTAATCTTTAAGCATGCTTTATTATGCATAAGACAGTTTGTATACAACTTCATTGATTAAATGAATATCTAATCTGCATTGCTGACCTCTACAAACTTAGGCTCTATAAACTTAGTTTTATCTACTTTTGATAACCATAAAAACATTATTAAATATTTTTTGTGTATCTCAGGAATGTGGACAAGATAGGACTATTATAACAAATTACATTATTATTTTAGCACCACAGTACAATGCTGCGTAGGAACTTGCAAAAATATCTATTACTAATCAAACCGGAACGAAAGTTAGTAATAGAGATCGAAGTCTCATTATATTGTATTTAATGAGTATTTAAGTTATTAGTATTATATTTAGTATTATAAGAGTATTTAATTTGAGTATTTAATTCCTGAGATACACAAAAAATATTTTATAATAATTATGGACGACAATATTGATAATAACATTATTAAATTTGTTTACCTGTTCCTGATTCTTCTCAGTCTGTGCTTGAGTCATTGGTGGGCCCTCTGGTTTTGAGTTCATTAGATCCAATCTTTGTTTTCCTTTTTGTATTTTCCCTATAACAAAACAGATTTTTAGTTTGCAGCTACCATGCTTTGTCCTTGCATCATTTTAAGTCATATTAAATTCACCTATCTCCAAAACTTGGATGATGCAGTTTTCTTAAGAAAAAATACTTGGCTGTTTGATTGAACTGTTTACTGAACCAGCAATGAAGAGTTTAAGTTTAAGGTATAGACACTTAGTAATTCACCGCCCCGCCAATTTCTGCCGTGAAGCAATAATGCGTTTCGGTTTGAAGGGTGGGGCAGCCGTTGTAACTATACTGAGATCTTAGAACTTATATCTCAAGGTGTGTGGCGCATTTACGCTGTAAATGTTTATGGGCTCCAGTAACCACTTAACACCAGGTGGGCTGTGAGCTCGTCCACACATCTAAGTAATAAAAAAAAAAAAAAACGTACATTTCGTATGTTGAAACCTGCTCTCTGCTTATTTTAACTTTATAATGCAACTTTTGATCATTTATATTAAATGTTAAAAATTACTAGCACAATCCATATTTATAAATGAGTTGGGAGTCACAAATTAATTACTATGATGTTTAACCAACATGCACAATTGCATAATCTGTTTACTATTTCGGTTCTATGCTTAGATAAGGGATCATTAATAGAAAACATATGGATAAATATTCTTGAAATAGAATTAAACAAGTGAACTTACTTTCTACATCATTAATCATATGTTTACAGAACCGTAGAAACTCTTCAACATACTGAGACTTCTTATATGATGGGTCGGCTTTCTCAAAAAGCTCTTTGACTTCTTCATCGTGGACTTTAGGACAAGCACCAAGATCAGCTCTAGTATTAACGAACAGATCATGCGGACAGAACTTTACCATGTAGTATTTGCAGTACTGAAAATGAAAAATCAATTTAAAATTTTACAATGCATCAACATTTATGTGATAATTATTTCTTAAGATTAGTTGCATGCATTACCATGGCCCACATGGCTTTTGGACATTGTTAGGAAGTTAATTTCCATCATATGCACATGCTATCATCCTACTTGAGTAGCACATTTGTGCCTTTATGGAACACAATATTTGAGATGGACCCTCAGTTTACTGAGCAATATCACCTGTATTATCAGTGGAAGAACTTCCATTTATTGCTAACATGATGTTAAATGTTCCCCATGTTTCATCACATAATGTAAATACATCAGTTTTTCCTACTTATGCTGGTAACCTAGGGGGTTATACCAGCGTAACTGGGCTGCATTGGTATGTGAAATATGTGTGGAAAGAAGTATAAATTCTTTATAAAGACTACACATAAAAAATAATGGTAGACCACACATTTAATGCTTTGCCATTAAAGTTTTTAATTAACTCAATTTATTTCCATTAGAAGAGAATAGAATTATATGACAATTATATTCTAGTTTACAACATGTATATTAGCTATGCATAAAATTATTATGTAGATTATGGTGGCATGAACACATTGTAACCTTTGTTGGGGAGATTTTTTTCCAATATTCTATGTTAATCCACATTTACAAAATTTAAATTACTAGTGTAATTAGTGGAAGTTATTAATTACAGGAACATATATCAAAATGTAGTATGGCTTTAAAATAAAAATATAGAGAATGAACTTAGCACATAGATGACTATTTTATTTTTTAAATGGTTGTAATCATATGTATTCACAATAAGATTTGTTTGTCAGTGCTTTGTAACGCCACAACAGTCATAGCATATGAAAAGAGTGCAGAGATTACGGTTATTAATAATTTATTAATGTCATTCTTCATGATTTGAGAACTATTTAGTGGCTGACTGAATACCTGTGCCTCTGGCTTATAGATGTTTCTTAAGCAAAGCAACTTTGCAAAAAACAATGTAATTTACACGAAATCGCGTGAAGGTTAGAAAAGTGTAGTGAGGTTTAAGAGGGAAAATTGAAATTATAATTAACCTCAGGATCTTCCCAATTAGGCTTTTTAATTTTTTCATTGGGATCGGTGTTCCGGTGCCTGCCCATCAATTCATCTAGGAGTTGTGCTGCCGCTAGCACCGCCATCCTACTTTTTAACGCTTTCTAGAACGTCAGACACAACAATAATACATTAAACTATGGAGTATAAAAATCTTAATTAGTTTAATTAAACTAGTTGCCAATACGAATCAAAACGTATTAATTTCTCAACACATTTAACATCAAATCAAAAACGAGAAATGTTTGTTGGAATGGAAAGAAAGGAAGACCAAAGACATTTTTTAGTTGGAGCCAAAGATTTTTTTTTTCGTATTTTTTTTTCCTTATTAGGAAAGGCAAAGGGATCTATGCCCATACAGCGTTGACTGATCTATTGGATTTTTTTAAAGGATTTTATGACCTGGTAACTAAGACTTTTAACTCGTGTCTTAATTAAATTTTAATTCTTATTTGTCTGAAAAATGATAATATGGAGTAAAATGAAATGAAATGAAGATGATTAATTTGAGACATTAATCAACTAGGATGAAATTAAATGAAATGAAATGAGATGATATAGGATGAAATATAATCTCAGTAAAATATTAGTCATTTACTAAAAAAAATTCAGTGAACTTTTTGGAGGATCCCGAGAAGTTGCGTCCAGCGGCTTTGTTTCATTTTCCCACATTTGTGCACTTTCACAGATATTAAACAGTTAATAAACCACCGTTATTCCATATTTAAACCTGAAGAAGCACTAAATAGACAAAATAAAACAAATCACACAACTTCACTCCTCGCGTTCCCGCCAAAAAGTCCGGTTTAGTATTTATATAAATGAAATGTGTATGTGTAGTCAGATTTTAATTAACCGTATATGAAAATTTTATTGATATCAGGTGATAGACAGCGTGGTTCCCATAGAACAAGCCACGAGAGAACCAGCAAATATTTTAGTGACTCACAATGCAGATGGCACCACGTCCATAGAAGCAAGTGCTGCTGAATTGCTCATCGTGAAAGACGAAACAAATTCAAAGATTGAAACTGCTCAGTTTGCCATACCTACAGACATTACAGTCCACGTCTATGATGCACTGCATTTGAATTTGTATTATGTTATTTTACTTTTGATGTGCGGTGTCATTCTGAATTATATTTTATTATATAAAAGTAAACACAATGTTTTCTAGTATTATTTATGTTTAAATTAATTGCTATAGCCGCTCGTCCACCCTATAAGAAAGAATAAGTTGATGGTGTTCATAGATTATTTCAGAGGGTCTAAAGTAAGACAGAAGAAAAATATGTAGATAATAAGGCTTAAAGTATGAAATTGCCGTTCTATTGTAATAGGTACTGCGAATTGACACAGAACCTTCATGGTTTGAGATTTTTGGGTGAATATTTTTTTCAAATGGTACATGAGAGGTTCTTCTTGTAAAAAAAGTGCAACATTCGATTATCGACTTTCAGTTGTTTTTTTTTATTCAGCTTAGAGACAAGAAAGATGGGTACTTCGAAAATTTGAGTGATTTTTAAATTCGAGTTACTGGTGATAGGACGTCTTGTAAGTTCACACAGTAGATACCACCACCTTGCCTATTTTTGCCATGAAGTAGTAATGCATTTCGGTTTGAAGGGTGGGGCAGCCATTAAAAACCGAGACCTTAGAACTCATATCGGTGGCCGGCGGCATTTACGTTATAGATGTCTATGGGCTCCGGTAACCACTTAACACCAGGTGAACCGTGAGCTCCTCCATCCACCCAAGCAATAAAAAAAAGACGTGGCTTTTCGGCTTCTTTAAAAAATTCATTGTGGTCTATTTCCTTTCATTCTGTTTTATCTCAAAACCAATATTAGGGACATCAAAGCTCCAACCAATTTTATTCCATTTAATCTCGTTACTACACCTTTGTCTTTATCAGTTAAATCTTCGATCTTCAAATTAAAGACTAGATTGAATGGGTCTTGTTTCTTTTGCTTATCCAATTGTACAATGGAAACAAAAAAAACAATGAATGATGTAAACATTTTGATAAGTTTGAAGTTTGAACACCTAGATAGAATATTAATAATGTAGTTTTTAACTGAAACATTGATGGATTTTATTCAAATAATATTATGAATAAATTGGGATAAGTGTTCATTCATATTAGAAAATATACATATTTTATACTGCAATAAAACAAATAAAATGGGTGCTTTATTCGGTAAACATAAAAAAGTAGTGAGTAGAGTTACCGAGCAAGATAAGGCAGTACTTCAACTAAAACAACAGCGAGATAAGCTGAAACAATATCAGAAAAAAATTGAATTAAACCTAGAAAAAGACAGAAAATTAGCTAAGAAATTACTAGAAGAAGGTAAGCGTGACAGGGCAAAACTTTTATTGAAGAAGAAGAAATATCAGGAGAATCTTCTACATAATACAGATACGCAGCTGGAGAAATTAGAACAGCTAACTCATGATTTGGAATTTGCACAAATTGAAATTCAGGTTAGTACATACATATCAAAAACAATCAATACATATAGCAGAATATATAAATTTTAGAACTATACTCTAAAATTTGGTAGTTTAGTAGTCCGTTGTTTATTAGTAGTTTTTTTTAACTGTGTGTAGTAGTACGCGCTCGACCTGACATTAAGTGTCCACATACTTCAGAGTGTATGTGCTGCTAGCTGTCTTAGGCATGGAATAAAGTCTCAAATGCAGAAAAAAACTGATGTCAGATCTTTCAAACTGGAGCTTATAATATTTCATCTATCCATAATACACAACTACCATTCAAGGCTGATTGGTGTTTGGGATAACTTTGTATAGGACAAAACTGGTGCCTATTCTCTGTAGAATCCCCCTTTAAGATAATAAGAGGTTGGGTGGTGTATTTCAAACCTGTTATTGTATTTTAAAAACTTGATGGATCAGCACTTCTGTTATGTTTTTAAAACTTCAGTTACAGGGTTGAAAAGGTCATATTCAGGCTTAATGAATGGCTTGACTTTTGTTTGAATTGTAAAGCTTATGTCAGTTATTAATTTATGAGAAATTTAGTGTATGTACTCCATTTATTATTAATTTTAAATAATTGATCTTTTCAGTTTTATTTTTATTACCATAGATCAGTATATCACAAACCAATTGATGTTAGTGATTTAATGTGCCTACCAGATACCATTAGATTTGAGGCAGAAGTCTCAAGTTTAGCCTTTAACTATTTCAAAACGGTGTGCTATATCCCAATGGGCAAAAGGTCACTTTGTAGTAGCAGAACAGTACAGGGCAGTGACATAAATCTGTGTAGACTAATCCTCTCTAAGAGTGCCTAGAAAGTGTTTTTCTAAGATCATTTAGAATGATCTTAGAAAAAGATGGAATTCTCCAAAAAACTTACTACTGCTGATAGCCTTGAGAGGCTATTTCAGCTTCGCCCTAACATGTGTAGGTGAGCTCACGGTGCTCAAACTGGAGTATTGCTAACACTGACCCTAGCAAGAGCAGTGCATTGCAGAATCTACCGCCATCGGAAACGCGACCCACTGAGAAGATCCAGTGAGAAACTCAGTGGGCTGTGTCTATGGGTTAATTCGCTCGTCGAGCCCTTCGTTGCCGGCGACGGGTTCGACGAGGACGGTGACCGGTGCTTGTGGTGCCTAAAAGCACCATTAATGGATCAGGAGGATCCACAATGACGTGCTTTGGGCGACGTCGACGGTTTACCATTCGGTCTACAGGATCGGGTATGTAATTTCCAGCGGCCACGACAAGAGGGTTCTCATGTCGTGCCGCCTTTTCGAAGTGGCGCAGCGATGCCGACTGTAGATACTTACTGACAGAGTCGAGCTCCAGGTCATCGTGGAGATCCACGTTCCTCAGGAACCATGGTGCTCCGACGACATTGAATAACCTGAAGGGGTTTCAAGTTGGTGCGGGCTGCGTGAGCGAACACTACCCTTGCATACGTCATGACGGGGTGTATGCAAGTTTTGTAGAGAGTTAACTTATTACGGAGGGACAGTTTGCTTCGTCTACAAAGCATAGGGTAGAGTCGTCCTAGTATAAAGGCGGCACGGTCGCGTACCGTTTTGACGTGGGGACGGAATGTAATCCCTCTGTCGAGGGTAACGCCTAGGTATTTGACCTTCGAGGCCCACGGTATGGGCTGGCCAAAGAGAGTGATGGGGCTAACGGCGGAGGTGTTTGGGCACCTATTAGGGAGTGGGATGCTCGAAGTGGTATTCGGAGGGCGACCCCTTTTGAAAAGCACCGCTGTACTTTTCGTGGGGTTGATGTCAATGCGTCACTTCCGGAACCACTGTCCCAAGGTGGTTATTGCGATCTGGAGTCGCCGATGCAACAACGACATCTTCCTACACGAGTAGTAGAATAGCGAGTAATAGATACCCGTGTCATCGGCGAAGAGCGCTAGATGGGTCTCCGGAGACCGGGGTATATCATTGACATACAAACTAAATAATAACGGGGAGAGCGCGGAGCCTTGCGGGACTCCGGCAGTCAGATGACGGGGGCGAGAGCGAGTTCCCTCCACTCGATATCGAAACGAACGATTCGACAAGAAGTCTCGTATGATGAGCACGAGTCAATCTGGCACTCCCATGTTGTACAGTTTGTAGATCAAACCGTTGTGCCAAACTTTGTCGAACGCCTTCGCGATATCGAAGAAGAGGGCACCGGTCGGGATTTGTTTACGCCTATTTAGCCCTATTAAGATGTGCTCCGTGAGGCGGTGCACTTGTTGTATGCACGAGTGTTTAGCGCGGAATCCAAACTGCGTCTACTAGAATCGTCTATTAGAATTTTATTCGCGGTAACGAAGTCCCATAGGCGTTTTCGAAGGAGCCGTTCGTAAATTGTGCCTATTGCTGGGAGGAGACTAATCGGACGGTAACTAGCGGTTTCGTTTTTCGGTTTGCCCGACGTGTGTATACTGTCGTGGCGTGCAACCTCTTTGACAGGACATAAGACCTATAATAACTAGACAGACACAGACTAAGACAGAGATTTGAAAATAATTCGAAAAGAAATGGAACGAGGGCGTACGTGACCAGCGGCACGGCAGTACATTTTTTGACTTCGAAAAAGACGGACAAAAAGACGAAAAAGAACGAATTGACCGTTCTCATATAAGACAACAATAGTACAAACGACCGTTCAAGTGACCTTCGACCGTTCAAGTAGTCATTCGACCGTTCAGTATACCAATAACATCCGCTTCTTTCCACACCGCGGGAAAGATGCAGTGCGTCATAGCGGCATTTAAAATGGTAGCCAACATTGCTATCAGTTGGAGTGGTAAGAGTTTTAACACGCGGTTGCGGATGCCGTCGGAGCCAGGTGCCTTCTTAGGTTGAAGGTTGTGGATCGCTTCTCTAATTTCGTCAGTGGTAATGGGGGGTAACGCGTCCGAGGGCGGCAGGGAAGCTCTGCGCTCGATCTCCCTGTCGACTAACTCGGTGTGTTCGGGGTCCGCGTATTGAGTGCTGGTGGTGCACTGCTCTTGCAGTGCATCGGCCAGCAGCTCAGCCTTGTCATCGTCATCGAAGGCCGGTGGTTGGCCTGAAGGGCGTACGAGGGGAGGCATAGTAGCGGTAGTTTCGGATTTGAGAGTCCTAGCTAGTCGCCAGTATGCTTGGTTAGAGGGCGCGAGTTCTAAATAACTATCCCAATTCTCATTTCGGGCGTCGCTTAGGCGGGATTTGACTTCCCGCTGTAGACGACGCATCCGAATCCGGTTTGAATGCGTGGGAAGTCGATCGTAGGCCCGGATTGCCGCGTTCCTAACTCCTAAGAGATTCCTAAGTTCGGGAGACAGTCTGATAGTCTGTGATGCCATGATGAAAGCCAAGTGAATCTGTTCTAGATTCACTTGGCTTTGCTGATTCATAATTATAATCAACTTTATGTATACAACCAAACCTTTTCTAAAATTAGATAAATCTTGAACCACTTGTTACAACCATTTGCAGTAAGCACAAAATATAGACAATCATTTCTCATTTATGGATAGATAGATGTATAAAACACAAAGATATCATTCTGCATGTTTGTTGCCTAAGTACTTAAAATTTTACAACAATTTTGTTTTCTCCAAATACAGCATCAATCCACAAACAAATTTATTCTATACTTAGTATATTAGTTATTATTATAATTATTAATAATATTAATTATAAATGAGAAAGTTTGTTTGTTTCTTCTTCTTTCACATCGAAACAAAGCAATAGATTCACATGATTTTTTTAGGTCATAAAGTGACATAGGCTACAAAAACATCTCATTCGAAACTTATCTTAAAATTTCTTGACATTTTCCATAATAATGCAAGCCAAGCCTTGGGTAAGATCTAGTAATTTATATGCACTTATTTATTACAGGTACTTGATGGACTAAAGACAGGTAATGTGGCACTGAAGAAGGTACATGATATACTGAACATTGATGAAATAGAAAAAATAATGGAAGAAACCAGAGAAGGTATAGACAAACAAAGAGAAATTGATGAACTAATTTCTGGACAACTCACAGAGGAAGATGAAGAGGCTGTAGAAGCTGAACTTGAAGCTATTCTTGATATTCAAGATGAATTACCAGATGTACCAACTGATAACCTGCCTGAAATTAGTGAACAAAAAACAAAAACAAAACCTCTGAAAACCAAAGAGAGTCCAACAAAAATTGCTGTGGAAGCCTAAATATTATTTATCAAACAATATTAATAGTACACCATCACCATATCGCAGTGTATAATAAGATTAATAAGGTTAACTGGGACAATAAACAATGTTGAACTATCATACTTTTCAAGCTTCTGCAATAGATGCATCCACAATACAGTTATTTGCTGTATTTACCATTTTGTTATTTTAATGGGTGGGTTATATATAATAATGTGATGTCAATGAGCTCCGATACATTATTTCACATCAGGTGCGCTGTGAACTTGTTCAACTACTTAACTGAAAAAAGATTTATTAAGGAGAAATACTCCCTATTTTTATCCTAGCTTCCTCCTGGAAGGCTTGTTTGAACTAATAAAAGGTAATATAACAAAATGTTATAGTGATAAGATAATGTTTAATGTTTATTTTGAATACAACTATTATTTTCCAATTATTTATTTTATTTCTATATCGTAACTTTTTTTATTTACTCCTTAGATAGGTGGACGAGCACGCGGCCCACCTGTTGTTAAGTGGTTACTGGAACCTATAGAAACAACGTGAAAGTCACCTATCTTAAGATATAGTTCTAAGGTCTCAGCTTTTACAGTAAAACGACTGCCCCAGCCTTCAAACCAAAACGAGTTACCCGTGCGTACTCGCAAGATGTCTTACCACCAGTAATTACCCAAATTATAATTTCGAGGGTTTGATTTTTATTGCATGATGTTATTATCTATTCCTTCACTGTGGAAGTCAATCGTGACCATTTGCTGAGTACCTATGGATTGAAACACCGGTGCATCGCAAGATACGAATGCACCAGACCTCTTATCCTTTAGGCCACAACAATTTCGTATTTTGATACTGTTTTGTAATCAACAGTTTCTATGTGATAAAATCCAACATATTNGAGGGTTTGATTTTTATTGCATGATGTTATTATCTATTCCTTCACTGTGGAAGTCAATCGTGACCATTTGCTGAGTACCTATGGATTGAAACACCGGTGCATCGCAAGATACGAATGCACCAGACCTCTTATCCTTTAGGCCACAACAATTTCGTATTTTGATACTGTTTTGTAATCAACAGTTTCTATGTGATAAAATCCAACATATTATGTGGATTTCTAGCTTGGTGCGTGTAATGCAAAAAAAACGAATACTGCTGTATTTTTTCATAAAACCAGTTTTATTTAATATTTTCAGAGCAGATTTTTTTTTATTGTCCTTGTAGACGAGCATACGGCCCACCTGATGGTGAGTGGTTACCGTCGCCCATGGACGTCAGCAATCCCAGGGGCAGAGCCAAGCCGCTGCCTACCGCTTAATACTCTCCACAAGCCTCGTTTGAAGAAGGACATGTCATAGCGCTCGGGAAACACCGTGAAGGGGAGCTCATTCCATAGCCGGATGGTACGTGGCAAAAAAGACCTCTGGAAACGCACTGTGGATGACCGCAGTGGCTCCAGGTAGTATGGATGAACTCTACTCCGGTGACGGGCGGCACGATGGTAAAAACGAGATACCGGTATCATCTCGAACAATTCCTCAGAGCACTCCCCATGGAACATACGATACAAAATACAGAGGGAACCGAAGTCCCTCCGCAGACCCAGAGGTTCCAAACGATCCGTGAGAATGGGATTATCGACAATCCGAACGGCCCTCCTCTGTATGGAGTCAAGTGGAAGAAGCTGGTATTTGGGAGCCCCGGCCCAGAGATGGTAGCAGTATTCCACGCGAGACCGAACTTGTGCTTTATAAAGCAAAAGCCTTTGTCCAGGCGTGAAATACCGCTTCGCTCTGTTGAGGACTCCCAGCATTTTGGACGCCAACTTGGCTTTGCCTTCCAAATGACTCCGAAACTGGACATCGCTCGAAATGTCGACCCTAAGTATCCCAATACTCTCGGAAGGTTGCAGGGATACTTCTTGGAATTGCGGCGCCATGACAAAGGGGTCCTTCTTCGCAGTGAACGTGCAAACTTGTGTCTTTCACGGGTTGAATTGAACCAAGTTCAATTCACCCCATTTGGAGACTCGCCCCAGAGTTCTCCACTTCAGACACAAGTTTTGAGCGTCTCTCTTGCACCACGCTCCGAGAGCCTCTGATGGCCGATATATCGCGCATCCCCCGTGCTGTCATCCGCATAGCAATGCATGCCATCAATAGACAGCATCTCATTGATATACAGGATGAAAAGCGTGGGGAGAGCACCGAACCTTGTGGAATGCCAGCGTTAATGGTCATGGTATCAGAACAGTCAGTCTACAACGACCGTGATGCTCCGCCCATCCAAAAAGCTAGCGATCCACTTGCAGAGACCCTCGGGGATTCCGTAAGATGGTAGCTTCGACAGAAGTGCCCTATGCCAGACCCTGTCGAAGGCCTTCGCGATATCAAGGCTCACAGCAAGAGCCTCGCCCTTGCTCTCCAAGGCCTCAGCCCACCTATGAGTAAGGTATACAAGAAGATCGCCAGCTGAGCGACCGTGACGGAAACCGTACTGTTGGTCACTGATCAGCTGGCGATCTTCAAGATACTTCAGGAGTTGTATATTTATTATTCGCTCCATCACCTTGGAAAGCAAGGAAGTTATCGCGATAGGCCTATTATAGCTCGATGGGTCCGACCGGTCACCCTTCTTGGGGATAGGTTGGACGTGGGCGGTCTTCCATGGAGACGGAACCCTGTTAGCGCAATAAGAGAGGCGATACAAACGCGTTAGCGCAGGCGTCAGCTCAGGGGCGCACGTTTTCAGAACCACTGCAGGGATGCCGTCTGGCCCACTCGACTTATGGATGTCCAGGAGTCGGAGTTCCCGCCTGAGTGCACACTGTGTAAAGCAGATCTCCGGCAGGGAACTATCACACCGGGGCATGTTCGGTAGTGTGGCACCGCCGTCGTCCACAGTCGAGTTCGAGGCGAAGAGTTTGACCAGGTCAGCCTTCTCTTTCGCACTATTGGCCAAACTGTCATCGGACTTGCGTAGTGGTGGGAGACTAGACCTGCAAAAGTTTCCTTCTGCAGCTTTGGCGAGCGACCAAAAAGCACGGCTTCCAGAGGGATTGCTCTTCAGTCGCTCGCCAATTCTAGCAACGTGCTTGGATTTCGCCCTGGCAATAACCTTCTTGTAGGACCTGGAAGCGGCGTTATATTTCCGCTTTTCCTCTGAGATGTTAGGATCCCGACGTCTCCTGGCATCATCCCATGCAACGTATGCGGACCGCATTCGTTCCATATTCAGTGAAGCAATGCTCTTGCTAGTGCTAGTGTTAGCAAATATTCTCAAGATGAGCTCGTGAACTCCCCTACCTGTCTGACCCCTACCTAGGCTACCTTGTAGTTTTTTTTAATAATTTTATGTAAGGCATTTTCAGGAAATCAAACAAATTTCTTAAAATTTAGACTGTACATGTGTCTGGTCAGTCATTTCTAAATAAAACAGTTTAATGTATTTCCCTTTTTTAATCTCATTCATATCAAACCAATAAACATATTTTAAATTTTAGTATCTATTGTGCCATGTTTTGATACACTATAAAATATAAATTAGCGTGGCACCATTGTTGATAAGTTATTAAAATAATGTCGATAAATTATCTCCAATGATTCATCGTACCTTACAAACTATATCAGACGATTCTTAATCGTTTAATCCCATCTTCCAACAATTTATCTTACGGCCGGTAAAACAAAAACGATACAAGCTATAATTTACATCTAGATAATATTTACAAGTAGATACAAGCATATATTTTTACAAGATGACTAAACACCATTTCACTTCCTTCATCTTTGAAATCATACAACCAGACTTAAATTTTATTGCAGCAATAATTATCACTCTTACTGTACATGCATGGCAAAGAATAATATTAAGCTGGACCTACAAATATAATTTATAATGGTTCTCTCTTTGTAGTCCAGAATATCTATCTACACACAACAGTTATCAGAAATCTAACTTTTATTTTAGTTAGTTTGCATGCTGACAGTTTATTAATATTTATAATGATATGGTCCCTGCTGATTGAGTAAATAAAATAATGTTAGTGTAACAAATGATTAAAACTAATGTTGGCCTCCTTAGTTTTAGGCAAGGAACCCCTGTACTAATATAAAAATGTACAATAAGTACTAACCTATCTGTAAGAATTTAATATATAATTTATGTTAGAATTAACAAGGAATGTAACTAATTTTTTACATATTTTCGTTCAGAAGCATTTTTACATCAGCTTCAAAATCAGCCTACACTTCGTGAATAGCAATAAAAAATATGAATTTGAACAATTATATAAAATGTGTTAACACTATAAACAGCAGATATGAAATATTATATTACAAAAAGTTATTTACACTATCATTACAATTTTGTATTACAAAATGGCTATTCAGAATGTAGGTAGGATACATATTGGGATTTAAATTTCTGAAGTTTACTCTAAAATACAGTTATTAAAAAATATCACACATTGGAAGCTTACTATTAAATAAGTGTAACAAATTTGTATCTTAGAACAGTTAGGATTGTTTTAAAATGAATTTACTTCAAATACCTAGCAAAAATCTTAGTAGATCTATTTCTAAACTATATGGTTTGAATATATTGCTTTTAGTATAATGTAATTAACATGATTTTAGTAGGTCTGGATATAAAATTCCATTTTAATATGACTTTAATAAAAATAATGCCCAATCTCACATAATTTAATACAGTGTAAAATAAAATAAAAACAAGGAAAATAACATACATATTAATTTGAATATAAAAACGGAGATGTTAATAGAAACTTTCACAATAACACTGCACATAACTAAATTTTCAAGTACTGTTTCATTTAACACATTGGCGTGATATCAGAGTGTTCCCACGTATATGTTTTCAACCTCGAAAGATTCGGCCGTGTGCTAGTAGTTCACAGTGACGGGGTGATGAGCAATGCTTGTGCCACTATGGTGTTGGGTTGTTGTAGCGTGAGTGAACGTCGCCGCTGTCGCACCAGGAGAGCTTGTCGAGCTACGTACTTGCTGCTGTAATGCATAATACTTTTGCTTCAGATTTGGAAAGCATATAAAACTTTTTTTCTTCTTTTGAATTAGTCTATTAAAACTGTTTATTTGATTGAAACCGTATTTAAAGTTATTTGGAAAGTAGAAATGTCCATAATTTAATACAATATAATAAATACACTTGATTTACTCATATCATGCAATTATTGCCTGGACACAAAATATTGGGACAGCTGCCATGCCAATATTTTTGAATAAGTACATTCTCAACAAGTGTTCTTGAATAACATTGTTAATGAATAAAATTATTCTAATATATCTAATTTCAAACTAGTACCTGTGTCACTTGGCCAGTTATTTGCATAACGGTGTTTGTGTTGGTTTGTTGATTTTGAGCAACATTGTTGTCTGCTGGTCTGTTCTCTGCTTGTGGTGGTCTGCAATTAATTGCTCGTGCTTTAATATCACAATTGATTTACTATAAAATGGAATGTTACTTACTTATTAGTTGGTTATATTCCTTATTGAATTTAAAAAATTTCCGCAAAGTTATTAATATTGTTTACAAACCTTATTTCATGTTTCCTTTCGGCAGGATCTACTTCGACTTTAATGAATTTAGGGTTGCATTCACTAGTGCATTCTATAGTTTCGGCGGGCGTATCAGTGCTCGTCGCCCCTTCTTTAGGTTCTTCATGTGTACGTCTGTGAGCCGCCAAGTGTCCTGTGCAATTATATTAGACGATTTATTTATAAACCAATAATATCTTATTTATGACTATAATCTTTATTTTATAATTTATTTATAACTAATAATCTTACTCGATGTTTTTTATAACATTTAAATCAGGAAATTCAATTCAGAGGACCAGACGAGAAGTCTAGACAGGCAGTTATTTATCAGGGAAAGCAAATACGCGACCCCTGTCTCAAGTTCAACATTCAACTCAACACACGGCATTTTCGTAAATTTCTCTAAATAAATTCATTACTCTCAATTCCTGCTCTCCTTTTAGTTCTACTGGTATTGTATAAATTGGTATCATAGACTTATCTATTTCTGCCAACATGTAGAGAACTTACCTTTACATAAGAAGTCTTTAGAACACACTTCACACCGCAATGTTCGACTCGCTTTATTGTGTGATCGTTCGTGGAATAGAAGATTGCCTTTTAATGGGAACGATTTGCCACATTCACCACAGCTGAAAGGTCGTTCGCCGCAACTGTGCGACCTGCATAAAAGAAAATGATCCATCTTTTTGTCAATCAAAGCTTTTTAAATAATTTTATACCAATAAATATAAAAAGTATGTTTTAACTTAAGTAATAATAGAAGTAATAGAAGTTTCCACAATTATCTTTAATTAATTTATTTGTATTGTTTAATTTCTTTAAAATTTGGAAGTCGTCGTGGCCTAAACAATAACACGTCCGAAGCATTCGCAACTAGCGATGCACTGGGGTGTCTGAATCCCGCTGGCAAGTACAATTTTTTTCTAATGAAATACGTAATTAAGAAATGTTTAAGATAGACTTCCATGGTGAAGGAATAACATTATGTATTAAAAATCAAACCCACAAAACTAAAATTTGCGTAATTACTGGTGGTAGGATGTTTTGTAAATCTGCACGGGTAGATACCACCACCCTGCCTATTTCTGCCGTGAAGCAGTAATGCGTTTCGGTTTGAAGTGTGCGGCAGCCGTTGTAACTATACGGAGACCTTAAAACTCGTATCTCAAGGTGGGTGGCGGCATTTACGTTGTAGATGTCTATGGGCTCCGGTAACCACTAAATACCAGGTGGAACTTGAGCTCGTCCACCCACCTAAGCAATAAAAAAGAAATATATATTTACCTCATGTGTGTGACAAGGTGTTCCTTTCTCGTAAAAGGCTTGGAACAAACTTTACATGCATGCGCTGTGTCTCCAGTGTGCTGTTTTAGATGGTTGGTGAGATGCTCTTTGCGAGTAAATGTTTTCTGACAAAATTCACAACGATGTGGCGATTCACCAGTATGTATTCTAAAATGCAGAAATATATTTTTTTTTTACCTAGTATTTTTTGCGTGACAGAAATTAAGTAGTATACTTCCTAGTATACTTCCCACTGATTTGGATTTTATTATAGACTTGGTATATTTTAGTAACTTGAATTTTTATTTCTTAAAAGTATTAAGTAGCTTACCTGACATGATTGGTCAAGTGTTCTTTTCTCGAAAACGTCTTTGTACAGAAAGGACATTTGTGTGGCGTTTCTCCAGTGTGTAGATGGATGTGATTTGTTAAATGTTCTTTTCTAGAGAACGATTTCGTGCAAAATCCACATTTAAATGGTGTCTCGCCAGTGTGTTGCCTGGAACAAATAAAAAAATATTTGTAACATTTTTTAAACAAGACATTATCAATTATTCCCTATATTATTTATAGTCATTACAAAAGTTCATATTCAAATAAATTAAAAATGTTTAGTATTGGCACCGTTTTTTTCTAATTTGTATTTTTTCAAATCATTATCTTACCGAACATGGTTAACGAGGTGCTCCTTTCTTGTGAATGTCTTGCTGCAGTAAGTACAGGCGTGCGGAGTGACGCCGGTGTGTTGTCGAATGTGATTGTTCAGATGTTCCTTACGCGCGAAGGCACGCGGACAGTAGGTACACTTGTGTGGAGTTTCGCCGGTGTGCTGTCTGCGCAACAGAGTACATTCCGATTTGAAAATGCACCATTTGGTATTTGATCATTGATAGGTGTCCTAAGCTTTATTAGTTAAATGATAAGATTATTTCACTAGTAAGATTTTGACAAAACCTACCTTGTGAAAACAAAGGGTGTTAATTTAGATTTGCGATTCATTATTTTGAATTTTTTTTGTCGTGGATACGGCAACATAATTAAGAGACATTTTGTCTGAAAATAAAAGCTAAATCGGAATGCACAATGCTGTGCTAAACAAACAGGGAAACATCACACAAGTGCTGCCAGGGATACAAAAGGACAGGGTAATATTACTTACTAATTTGAAATCTACTATTGTATCTACTCTTGAAGATTAATCTAATATCATGCAACTAAATCATGCTCTAGAAATTCAGACAAAAAAGTAAAGCTCAAAGTCATATTAACTAATATAGCTATCTCATATATATGTATAGATTTATGGAATCTGGGGTAATTAGCACGAGTTAAAAAACATACTAAATTACATCAAAACCATTCATTTGTTACTAAATCTACCGACATCAACAAGTCCTTACAAATTCCAAATTAATCTTTTTTCCCTTCCTTATCGCAGGTATCCTAAGAGGCTATTTCAGCTACGCCCGGACGGGTAGGTGAGCTCATGGGCTCAATCTGAGAGAATTTGCTAACACTAGTCCTAACGATAGCAGTGCTTCACAAAATCTACCACCGGACCGGAATTGCGACCCACTGAGAAGATCCGACGAGAAACTCAGTGGGCTATGTCTGTGGGTTAGTTCGCTCGTCGACTATACTATCTTAGAACTTATATCTCAAGGTAGGGGGCGCATTTACGTTGTAGATGTCCATGGGCTCCAGTAACCACTTAACACGAGGTGGGCTGTGAGCTCGTTCACCCATCTAAGCAATAAAAAAAAAGAACTCTTCGTCGTTATCGATGAGAACGGTGACCGGTGCTTGAGTGGTCTAAAATCACCGAGAGTGAATCGGGGGATTCGACAAGACATGTTTCGGGCAACGGCAGCTTTGCATTGCTTCGTCGCGGTCGGATAAGTCCAAATTTATCATTCATAGTATTAATAATAATATTATTATGCTTTTTCATATCTTAAAACCTTCCTTTTAATCTTTGACAGTTGTCCAATTCCATATTTCACAATACAGACTTTATTTGTCAAGAAACAATCCTTATGATAAGACTCGTTCTGCTATATTAGTTACAGAGCAGTAATAGCGAGCATGATTTTTTTACTAGTCATTAGGCAGAGTAATGAGTGTGAGTGGGTGAGTGTTCACTATTGCTCATAGATGCCAGCAATGCCGGGGACAGTGGTAGCCGCCTAGTGCTGAGGATTCTCATCAAGCCTTGGTTGATAATAAACAAACGATATCGTATTAGCCAAAATAGGAACCTAGTTAAGTATCTGTGAATAAATGCATTAACTCACATATACATGCACACATTGCTATAATCATAATAATAGTTTGCTTTTAAAGTAAATAGTGCTTTTCCTTATTTTTTGGCTCACCTGATATGATTAGTAAGATGTTCTTTCCTTGTAAAAGACTTGGCGCAGTAAGTACATCGATGCGGGGACTCGCCTGTGTGTTGACGCACGTGGTTCGTTAGATGTTCTTTTCTTGTGAACGACTTGGTGCAGAAAGAGCACTTGTGTGGCGATTCCCCTGTGTGTTGTCGAACGTGATTTACTGTAGAGAGAAAAATATTGTTGAATATAAAAGTTATCTACTGTCTACTCTTCATTTTCAAACACAGCTTGCAATGATTTTTTGTGTTAAAAGTTTTAAAAGTATTTTGGAGACAAATAATAGGCAAAACGAATTCATCATCATTATCATCATTATCCTGCTCTTCTCCCAGTTACCTGGGGTCGGCGCAACATGTTTTCTCCTTCCATACTCTTCTATCATATACCATTTCTTCGCTGACTCCCCTCTTACCCATATCGTCTTTCACGCAATCTATCCATTTCTTCTTAGGTCTCTCTCTCTCTCTCATTCTCTTCCTCTATATCCTTCCACGCTAAGCAAAACGAATTACAAAATAAAAATCGATTACCGAGATGATCCTTTCTTGTGAATGCTTTAGGACAGTATCCACACTGGAATGGTGTTTCGCCGGTATGTTGCCTCACGTGGTTCACTAAATGTTCTCTTCTCGTGAACGATTTGGAGCAGAAGTTACACCGATGGGGAGATTCTCCAGTATGTTGTCTTACATGATTGAGAAGATGCTCCTTACGAGTAAACGTTTTCGAACAAAAGTCGCAACGATGTGGAGTTTCACCTACAATGAATATTACTTAGTACTAAATGTAAATCTTGTTTTGTATATGATCTGCTTAATTATAGAAAATCGCAAACCAGCTACCATCTTAATATAATTTTAAAGTAATAGACAGGATAACTATAAAGTAGTCATTTCAGATTACCAGTTTAGATTAATATTAATTTATTACTATTTATAAAATTCCAATATAATATTTAATCGTGAAATAGACAGACAAGTAGTGTTTAGTACACAACTTTATTCTTTTGATACATACAGGCAGCGTTTCATATTTATATTATTGAGCTATTTCTTTTTGAAAAAAAAAGGGTACCTATGCACGAATGTCCTAATAATTTAATAATTGAGATGATTATATGTGTGACAAATTACATATTATGTTTCTATCAGTATGTTATGAAGTAAACTTAGTTTCTGACGAAAAATAAAGTTGTCTAAACAAAAAATGATATATGGCTTGTTATTAGTTAAACTATGTACAGTTAATCTATGCAATAGCAAGTTTATAGGTAATAATGCAACATGAAAACAGATAAGTGCTAGGAGATAAAGAGAAAATCCAAGCCTGACCACTGGTCCAGGGGGTCAAATACACAACAACGAATTAGTCCTTCATGTCCTACGTTATGAAAGCTGTATACTGACCAGTGTGCCATAATATGTGGTTGTTGAAGTGTTCCTTTCTTGTAAAAGACTTGCCACAGAGATCACACCGGAAAGGTGTATCGTTTGTGTGTGATCGCATATGGTTCATTAAATGCTCCTTCCTAGTATACTTCTTGCCGCATAGTTGGCAATGATGCGGCGTTTCACCTAGTATCGTGGAGCAGAAAATAAAATGTTAACATTCAATGATGCAACTATGTCATTCGAAACATTTAGTTTGTCATTCCTTCCAAAATTATTCCATATCCCCCATCGTAGTTTCTCTGGGAGATACGTGTTTGTTTTTGAAACGTCAATAGTTGAATCATTCAATTTTTCACTTTCTGCACCACTGGAAATGACCCATGGAACTGGTGCAGGCTTGGGGATTTCATGTAAAATTATAGAAAGAAAATAGGTGTACAAACTAAAAATTTCGAAAATAAACAAGATGTTTGAAAACCTGATTTTGCTTCAAAGCTAAACTTGGATTCACTACTTATTCTAAAATAGCTTTCTGCCAATGATGTGTCCCTACACATTATTGGAGTTTTGTGGACGCAATCTATGCAATTTACTTTTTTGCATCATAAACTCATTCAAAGGTGCTGTTATACAAACAAAAAATTACAGAATTTTTAGTTCTAGGAATACAATTCAAAATACGAAATAAATAAATTATAATGCAAATAAACCAAGCAGTAAGTATTACCACCCAAGGTAATTTACAATTTACTAATTTTACCATAGTACATATTAAACCATTCCCATTAAACTTAACCTAACGAAAGTTTATTTAAAGAACCGTTTTCAGTTACCCTGGGATACTGAATGAGAAGTGTTGAGTAATATTTAATAAACCAATATACCTGTGTGCCACATGACATGGTTCATGAAATGTTCTTTCCTCGTGAAACTTTTCTTGCAGATGTCGCAGCGATGCGGCGTTTCGCCGGTGTGTTTCCTGACGTGATTAACCATGTGTTCTTTTCTAGTGAATGTCTTTGCACAGAATTCACATCTAGACATACAATTTTGAGTTTTAAAATCTTAAATTTTACTCAAATATGCTTTATGAGGGGGTATCTAGGTCCGTACGGATTACCACTGCTTTTCCTTTTTTTACCGCCAAGGTCGAGTTCAGCTGTTTCCTTTAAATTCAAACTTTAAAATTTTCTCACAATGGTCGCGGTATGTTAGTGTATTGTCTACGAGTTCTCGTAACAGCTTAAAAAAGTGCAGTCAATCTAAGGCAATACTACTACATAGTTTTTTCTTTAAGACTAAAATATATGTTTAGTATATTTTTAAGACAGGTAATTTACCGGTAAGGTGTTTCTCCAGTATGACTTCGTACGTGGTTATCCAGATGTTCCTTTCGCGAAAAGGTTTTATGGCAAGTTGTGCAAACATATGGCTTGTCCGCCGTCATTCTTTTGGCGTGTCGTTCCGCGGGGTCGCCGGCTATGGAAATCGCAATCATCTTTTTTTAAAGACGAACCTCTAAATATTGCTTATATTGTCATCAAATATGAATAAAATAAAACTTTTAATAAAACTCATTGCATGAACCTAAAAACATTTAAGTCCATTTTCTTATTCCTTAATTCCTACCATGGCAGGGATTAAGCAGAAGGGAACAAATTGGTACAATCGCTCTGCTTATTTTACCACAAAGTAATCGTTCGTCTTTGATGGATAAAATCAGCCTACATTCTGTCATGTTTTCCCCTGTTTTAAATTTACGAAATGAATAAATTATGATTTTTAAGTATGTACATACCAAGATGACATTTTCCGTGTCTTGATAATTCTAAAGGGTTAGCAAACGCTACTCCACAAACTAAACATGCAAAAGGTTTGCTTTCGCCATGGTATCGTCTGTGAAGCAATGATAAATTCATTACAAATTTGTACACTATAAAATAATTCTCAATAATCTTTGTAATAGAATGGTTTATAATAACAGTGTGTAATTATTACAATCAATAAAGAGCCATGGCTACCCATGGCTACTCAACACTGCTACTAGGGAAGCCTCTAATATCTATAAATAGAATTTCTTCAGTATCCATGAGTCAGACATTATTTTTATTGGTTATATTCNAATTCATTACAAATTTGTACACTATAAAATAATTCTCAATAATCTTTGTAATAGAATGGTTTATAATAACAGTGTGTAATTATTACAATCAATAAAGAGCCATGGCTACCCATGGCTACTCAACACTGCTACTAGGGAAGCCTCTAATATCTATAAATAGAATTTCTTCAGTATCCATGAGTCAGACATTATTTTTATTGGTTATATTCTTATCTCAACTAAAGTAGTTCAATAAACTTTTGTTAACATGGAAATATAAGGATTTTTTTTAAAATTTTGCTTAGCAAGTTACCTGTGTACAATGAGTTGATATCTAAACTGGAATATTTTCCCACAAATATCACAAGAATGGTGTCCAGGTGACGAATCTTGTTCAGTTATCGCTGCACTCGTACCTGCTTCTACCTCAACTTCTATTTCCGTTATTACCTTAAAAAATATGTTCATATTAATGAATGAGTTCGTAACAGACTACATTTAATAATTTTAAATTAATAATAATAATAAATAATTAAATTAATACATACTACTAAGATTTCTTGTTTATTTATGTAAAAAAAGGTCAAAGCACTTTAAGCCTCAAAAAGGTGTTACAGGGTGTATATCGTGCCCGATTCTCTTCAAAATTTATGGGGAATACATTATGAGACAAGCCCTAGATGGCTTGGAGGATGGAGTGTCCATTGGCGGCAGAAAAATCATAATCCTCGGTTATGCACATGACACCACACTGTGCGCATCGTCCGAACAAGAACGAGCAACTCTTTATAGGGTGGAAAAAGAGAGTTAATAAGTTGGCTTAACAGGGCGAAGATCAAGGTATCGATGGTAGGCAGACCTGGTATTCTTATTCGCTCTAATGAACTTTAAAGACTTGGAACTTGTTGACCGGTTCGTTTATCTTGGCTCTCTTGTTAGTTACGAGGATGTCAGCGAAAAGGAGATAGCCAGAAGAGTCTAAATGTCCAAAGGAGCAATGACTAAATACACTTGGTAGTGAAAAGACCGCAACATATCCCCCATAACCAAAGCGAAGCTGGTACGTACATCGGCCTTCTCAATTTTCCTTTATGGCACCGAATTCTGGACGATAGGATGAAGTGAGAGGACAAAGATCGGCGCATTTGAAATGTGGTGTTGGAGTTGGATGTTGCGAATTCCATGGACTGCACGCCAGACCAACCTATGCATTTTTAAATAAATCGGTACCACAAGGCTGTCGGCTATTTGCATCCAGCATATTCTCAAGTACTTTGGTTACATCGCTCGTAGAGGCAGGCAGATCAGGTTGTAGGCAGGAGATTATGTGGTCGCTAACTTATCCGCCGGTCAGATCTGGTAGACGCTCACCAGCCTGCTACTAGACGAGGCTATAAAAACTGCCGACAACAGGAAGACGAGGAGAAGCATAGTGCATCGAGTGATAAACACTTCAAGCTAGACATGATCTTCAGCAATGAAGAGACCGACTAAGAAGATCTAACAATAGGAAGAAACCTACCATTTGTAGGACCTCATTATATTATGTGTCAAATAAGCAATTTTTAAGGAAAATCTTATTTCTGTTTATTAAAATATTGTGTGTGATAAATATATTATTGAGTAGCATCCAAAACACTATCGGTTATAACTTTAAATTCGTATTTTCAATAGGTTTTTTACTGGTTTAACATTCTCTACATACAGTGGAATGTTTAAATGTAATTTTCACTAACTTTAAGACATAATATTAATTTAGCACAAGTATGAAGAGCCGATGACAATACATTGATTGATTACTCAGGCATACCATGCTGACCCCGTTGAACAATAAATATATTTTTAATATCAAATACATTTAGTTTGGTTTGTTATACAACGTAATTTTTTTTAGTTCTTTGGTTTATTACATGGCTCAAATGCACTTGTCAGCTTACTTGAATTGTTTGAGTCGACTATTTTGTTGCATATAGGTAACAAATGTTTTTAAGGTGAGAATAAACCAAAACATTATCAGATATTTTATTTCGTGAATTCCCTTTGTTATTATAAAGGTAATATCTATGGAAGGTCTATTTCATATAAATTTATTATTAATCTTAGCTCAAAAAATATAATAATTAAGTATTTACCTTGGGTTGTTGTTGTGGTTGTCCATCAGAATTCAATTTCCCGAAGACTTCATGATATGCTAGTAGTTGTGAGAGATCTTCCACATTAACTTTATACATAGCATGCATGTCATGATCAGTAGCTCCAGCTGATATCTTGACGACGGCCCCTTCCATTCCCATTGCCCCAACAGTCTGTAAATTTTCCTAGTTTAAAAATAATTTAGTTTAGTTTGTAGATACGTCATAATACATTATAATTTATTTCTTGGAGGGGTTAAAATATATCTATAGAAACAAATCGAACCGAAATATCTATTTGATTTTGAACCAAAGGCTTTGTTTTAAGTTCATAGATTTATGTGGACATTGTCAATCAAAAATAATTTTTTATTTTCAATTAGATTATTCAATAAATATCTTCTTTAAATGTTAATAGATTCGCGAGTTTATGAAATGTTTATCAGACAGTTAGTGTACATTAGAGCATTTAATTAAAATTAGGAATTTAAAATGACTTAAATTTAAATAAAAAAAACACACACCTTCAAATCAATGCCCTTGATATCTTTAATGTCTGTAGGTATGGCAAACTGAGCAGTTTCAATCTTTGAATTTTTTTCGTCTTTCACGATGAGCGATTCAGCAGCACTTGCTTCTATGGACGTGGTGCCATCTGCATTGTGAGTCACTAAAATATTGGCTGGTTCTCCCGTGGCTTGTTCTATGCGAACCACGCTGTCTATTACCTGATATCAATAAAATTTTCATGTTACTATAGGATTTATTTAATGTGGCCACATATACAGATTCCATTTATTCTAAACCAAAAGAATTATATTTAGTTTATCCGCATGCCTATCATTCAATCTTTAAAATTAAATGTTATTTCTGTCCTATCTGGAGTACATTTTTATTTTATCATATAGCGATATAATTAGTGTTTCTATCTGCTACAATTTTTTTTAATTACTAACCTGTTGCCCTACGATTTGCTGTAGTTGATGTACAGTGAGTGTTTGATCATTGGGTAGCTTGATAGCTTCATGAAGCTCTTCCTTTTCAACAATTTTACCCGCTCCCGGCTCTACCACTGTCACTATACCATCTTCACTGACAGTTAGTTGTATCTGCATTCAAAATTACTTGTGATAAATATTGGGCAATTGTGAGAATACTAATTCAGCTTGCTTGCTTACAGCAGCAACTGACTTGGTACAAACTTATTTCCAGTTGGAAATTAAAGTTTTTTGTATTACATTACCCAAGAATATGAAAAATTGATTTTTTAGCAACTATCTGCACTTTATTTTTTCATATTTCCAAGATTCAAGACAAAAAGTAGTAGAAACGAATAAACAAGTTATTTATGTCTACACAGAATCTATATTTATGATTAATAAAATATTATTTGTATAAATTTCCATACAGACCCACATAAATTTAATAGCACATTTAAAAAAATCTTAAATTTCAAATTAAAGGGGTACTCAAGAGCTGCTACCTGAAAAGCCTTGTGAGAAGCCAGCATATAATTGTTTTTTAAACTCACCTCATTGACCTTTATGGTGTAAAAAGCAGCGTGAATACAGTAACATAGATTTACATGTGCAATATCAAAGCACTCAACAGCAAATTTTACATTATTTTTTTATTATTTAATTTTGTTTACAAAAAAATATACCTGTTGATTAGAATGGTCTGGTCGAGCCGCCATTAACTGTTGTTGCAACAAATGCTGTTGTGTGTGGTGAGTCTGTAGGTAAAATATGAAAAACACTATTTTATTCAAAATATAATACCACTACATTACAATGCAGGGTAAACAGAAAGGAAAAGCATAAAATATTAATAGAAAAAACTAATTACATATAATAATTTTGAAAAAGAAAATGCACCTTAGAGCATCACAGAAAACAGTTTTTAATGAGTTTTTTTGGTAATTAATTTTCTTTTTGTATTACGTAAAAGTTAAAAGTGACAAATTTTAAAAACATAGTCATAGCATTTGGGAAATATCACAGAGTGAAGCTTATTCCAAACCACGATGGTATGTAGCAGAAAAGATTCCGGAAACGCACTGTAGATAGATGAACGCATTAAGCAGTTCTAGGTAATATGCATGAACTTTACTCCGATGGCGGGCGGTGCGATAGCAAAAACGAGATGAGATCACCTCAAACAATTTCTGAGAACACTCCCCGTGGAACATACGTTACATAATACAGAGAACCGAAGTTCTTCCGTAGACCCAGAGGGTCCAAACGATTCGAGAAAATGGGGTTTTCGACAATCCGAATAGCCCTCTTCTGTATGAAGTCAAATGGAAGTAGGTGAAGTAGGTTTTAGCGGTAGGCAGCGGCTTGGCTCTGCCCCTGGCATTGCTGAAGTCCATGGGCGACGGTAACCACTCACCATCAGGTGGGCCGTATGCTCGTCTGCCTACAAGGGCAATAAAAAAAAAAAAAGGTGATATTTGGGAGACCCAGGCCAGAGGCGGAAAAAGTAGGTACTCCACGCGAGGCCGGACTTATGCTTTGTAAAGCGTTTGTCCGGGCGTAAAGTATCGCATTGCTGTGTTGAGGATTCCCAGCATTATTGACGCAAACTTGGTTATCCAAATGACACCGATATTGTAAATCGCTCGAAACAAATTCGTGGAAAATTGCAGGAATAGTCATTTAGTTTCAAAGATAAACTTAGTATACTAGCACAAATACATAAGTTTTATTGGACTTTATATGTGTCGTTAATAATTTTGTGAGAAAGTGTGCCGTTGCCGTGAAACGCATGTAAATGTATTTAAGATTAAGAATAGTTGTCTTGGACACTCTAGAGTACATAAATATTGAATAGGTGAATGTAATATTGTAATATTCAATCATGGAAATGTTACAACACTTGAGTCTATTTAGTCTATTAGATTAAAGTAATAGAGTAGGTATTAAGATTAAAAAAAATCATGCAAATAGGTTTGCTAATTTTAATTCATATTTAATATTTAAATTAATGTTTCATGCAATTTTACTTCTAAACGAATTTTAATGATGCGAGCTATACGATACTTGTTTGTAAAATAGTTTGTTACTAAATTACGTTACATTTGGCTAGACTAACGATCACATACTTCACTACCTACTATAGATTGATGCAATATTTCATTCCTGCAAGTAAAGGAGCGTTACCACTTCAATTACCATATCGATATTATGGTGTTGTACAAACTCGACCCGACTATTGGCTACCTGCTGGTGTGTGGCCTGACCAGCTCCGGCACTACCTGTCGCCTGTTGTCCTCCAAGCTCTTGTGCCTGAGCGTGGCCCACCATCGTTTCTGAAAATTACACTTGTATTTTAACATTTAATTATTGAATATCTTACATCACATGGCCATTAATGATACAAAAATCTGTTAGTGTAATTAAAAAAAGGAAAAAATCACAAAAACTTCCTCGGCTTCACGTGACGTTGTGACGTAGTATTCTAATAACTATCGCATTACTAAATACTTTTGAAGAATATTGTGGCGTCGCATGAAATCGGTCTACCTTGTGATGTCACAATACAGTAAGGCGATATTGGTTATAAGAGCAACTCAACATTTTCTATTAAATTATTTTCCAAAAATAATTGATCCATTTAGTAATTTTAATTTTAGAATAAACGGCAAAGGGTACACGGAGCAGGTGGCTCCGAATGTTATTCGGAATTTTTATGTACAAGAATATTTAAAAAGTCGTCTTTCTTCTATTCTATGATAGCCACTATACTAAAGTAATCTTGTCGAAATACTTCAAAGAAACTGTTAAATAACTTATTGCGACTTCTATTTCATATTTCACAAGATGTCTAGCATCATTTAAGGTACCTATTGTTCGTTAGATAAGCTATTACATCAAAAAGCTTAAAATGTTGATATAGTGTAAATACAAATTTGATAGGCCATAAAATCATAATTATCATATTGATGACGAAAAGCTAGAAGAGCTTAGGTAGTTGGTTCTCTCAGATATTTTACTTTTCCTTAAGATTTTTAGGAATTGTTTAAAATTAAATATTAGGTAAGTAATAATTACAAAAACAATTACATTTATACAAAATAAATTACACAGTTTAAAATTGCAACAATCATAATTTTCCTAAAATTGATGTAAATCAAAAACTGATAACACACTACAGAAAACTTATTGTAATGTATTCACAACAGAAACAGATGGTTTATGTGTGACATTGAGTTGCTGATCAAGAACATTTGCTGAATTTTATTATCTTGGTAAAAATAACTTTTCTCTTGAAATAAATTCGCTCAGAAAATGTTTTTTATAAAAATCATATTGGAAGAAGTAACTAGATGTACTTAAATTCTTTAACCAGTAAGCATGGTAGGCAGCAGCTTGGCTCTGCCCCTGGCATTGCTGACGTCCATGAGCGACGGTGACCACTTACCATCAGGTGGGCCGTATGCTCGTCTGCCTACAAAGGCAATAAAAAAAAAAGCATTTCTGTAACTTACGACACTCACAACTATACTTTGATTTAAAGAATGAGTCTGTCTAGTCATTGCTCTGGATTGAAGCCCCAATTACTTTTATAAGTTTCAATGGTCAAACATTTCACCAATTAATTTGATGAACCATCATTATGATTTGACCTGTTTAAGTTTTTTGACAGTGACACATTCTACACAATAAAACCCAAATACTATTCCTTCTATCTTATCTTGAATATTTGGGAAAATAATCACTCAATTCCTCAACTCTAATGATCTTTAGCCATTCTCAGGTATTCTATACCTCCTCTGCTAAGACCACCCTCAAATGAAATATGCAAGTGTTTAGAGTTTCCTCTGATGACTTTGCACTTGCTTACTTTTCCTACATTACGATGTATGCTAGTTTTTTAGTACTTGCCTCAGTGGACATATATTCTATTTGAGTTAAAATATTCTGGCGGGCACTAAGTTTACAAGTAATGCTTAACACAACATTTATGAATGTACAATATATATTGTGTAACAAAAAACAAATCAACAATGACTTGGAGACATGTTTAACTACACTTCACTTGCTTAGAAAATGTGAGTTTATTGAGACATATGAATTACAGGATATTATGATGTATTTCCCTGCGTTGCAGAAACTACTAACGTCGAAAACTAATATTTATGATTCCATCATTAAAACTATTCACAATTTATTTGAGAATGACAGCTTTCTGATTATTCAAATAAGCTTCTAAAAAGGTGTTACACCACCATCATTAAAATCCTTTGAGAATAGTGTTGAACTTAAAACTCTTAGCTTTGATTCACTGTCTAAAACAATGGATTCTACACCTTTAGAATACAATTGCAGACTTAATCATACATACACAAACTTATGACCTATCTCATATTAAATGTAGCACATTAACTATGTCTGTCCCAAAATACTGATATTTGAATATAAATGCATTTCAGCCTGTAGAGTAGTTCAACCATTCAGTTTTGGCATTAACACATAACATGTTCTATTTAATTGATAATTGAGACTCCAGACCTTGGGACACAAGGATGGCAGCATTCACATTGTAGTTTCATTACCAATCAACAGCATACAGGGTGAAGTTAGTCTATTCATTATTGGCAAAATAATATCTTAGTCACTTCGAGTGAGTATAAGTTTTAAGTCTTAACATTGTAACATCATAATCGTATGCAACATCGTCGGGTCATATCATCCTTTGCAATAAGAGCAATAGTGCCGAATTTACTAGTGGTAGGACCTCTTGTGAGTCCGCACGGGTAGGTACTACCGCCTACCCTCGACCGGGTATCCGTAAATGGATTCCCCAGCGTTAAAAAAAAAAAAAAAAAAAAAAGGTACTACCGCCCCACCTATTAATGCCGTGAAGCAGTAATGCGTTTCGGTTTGAAGGGTGGGGCAGCCGTTTAACTATACTGAGACTTTAGAACTCATATCTCAAGGTGTGTGGCGCATTTACGTTGTACATGTCTATGGGTTCCAGTAACCACTTAATACCAAGTGGGCTGTGAGCTCGTCCACACATCTAGGCAATAAAAAATAAAAAAAACAGACAAACATGGCAGATTGTGTCTTGGCAGAAATATATAAGGGAAGTATGCATGTACAAGCAGATAAAAGGGAGATCCTGCTTTACCTGCTAATGGAATAAGCCAATTAAAAAAAAATAGTACCATGAGTTTGCCCAGATTGTGTTGAAAGGATTTGTGAAACTGGAATCTGCTGTGTTCCAGCCGCAGACACTGTAACCTGTGCCTGACCTCCATGATGACCAAGTATGATATTAGGATCACCATTAAGTATACCAGTATGTGTTTGACCAATATCCTGAAAAGATTATTTAAAAAAGATTGCATTTCACAGATATATTTCACACTCAGTTAAGTCTAGTGTAAGCTTAGAGAGCTAGTTTCTTTTAAGTGTGCAAAATATGTATGTATTGGTCCAAATATTAGATGATACAATCAGCACAATGAAAACACATTTTAATCATTCATTCAAGGATTCCCAATGTTTTTTTTTTATTTATCGTTTATCGAATAGTTAATATCTGCACTAAATAATAAATCCGTAGTAAGAATAGATAAACATTTTTGGTGACACGGGATGTTGTACTGATAGTAGATTAGATGTTATGATTCATTAACAAAATACAACAATTCGAAGATATGACAGATAAAGAATTTACCTGTACTGCTTTCCCGTTTTCTATTCTTGTACCTGTTGGTAGTCCATACACTGATACTTGTGGTATTGGACCAGGGAAGAGATTTGTAAACACCCAGTACTTCGCAACACTAGACAAAGCGACATTTACANTTGTACTGATAGTAGATTAGATGTTATGATTCATTAACAAAATACAACAATTCGAAGATATGACAGATAAAGAATTTACCTGTACTGCTTTCCCGTTTTCTATTCTTGTACCTGTTGGTAGTCCATACACTGATACTTGTGGTATTGGACCAGGGAAGAGATTTGTAAACACCCAGTACTTCGCAACACTAGACAAAGCGACATTTACAGCAGCAGAGTTCACTCGGAGGTCAGTAGCAGAGGTTGTGGGTGTTAAATTAGTCTGCTGCTGTTGCTGAGCTGTCCGTTGATTTTGAGACTAAAACCAGCAAACCGTTTAGAAATCCAACCAGAAAAACATATACTAAAAACCCATTACATTAAATTTCGAACCTCTGTACTTCCCGATGGCTGACCACCACTAGTAATATTGTGGTGTTCTGGGTTCATTTTTAGTCCTTATCAAACAACAATCGCTTCAAATTTACGGAGCTATTTACAAAAACAAGACAATTCTAAACTTTATATTTCGGCATTGTCATATTTCGACTGTCAACGAAATGGAGGCGCGGGGGACGCGACGGGCAGCCATTATGAAACTTGGAGCACAAAAACATTTTTTTCGGAGACGTATCTCCGTGGTACTCAGTAAAACAGCATTCAAAATATTTTAGATTTAAAGTTATGGTTGACATATAGTGAGTTGCTTGATTAATTGAAATACCACTAGTAGTTTAGATCGAAAATTCGGCAAAAACACATTTACAACATAGGCAATCACAACCACGAAAGACGAAAGTTTTTGACGTTTTTGTCATGGTCACAGTAATACCAACATCAGCAACGGATTACATTAAAATTAAGTAAACAATTCCATTTACAGTTCTAAAAAAAAATTAACAGAGAACTCTAAGTCCATAAAGTAATACAATGATTTTGGTTTTTCAAATTCAAATGTAGCTAATACAAAATTGAAGCAATTCAAAATCACAAAATTTTGGAAATGAACAGTTGTCGTCTGTGAACCAAAAGAGGGCAGCTATCTCAATTATTGCACTGCTTGACAAGGCTGGCAACCTTAGAATATTATGATTTTAAAAAGATGCGTTCATAAAAATATTTATACCTTTACATACCTATTTCTTCGAAAAACAATAAATTACTATTCAATTATATTAATATTTACCTATTATCTACATGGTTAGATAATCGTTAATTAATAAAGCAATCTTAATTTCATAGTTTACACGAATTAGCCAGCAACTTTTCCGAATTTAACCATTCTCAGAGTACAAAAGGAAATAATAAGCGCGGGTATATAAAAGCTGGGACTTTATAATGTGCCGTATCGGAAATCTTTTTCAAAATTTATATCTGTCCGCGGCACACGAACGGTATACGAACTGCGGTATTCGAAAAACGTACAGGCACATCGCTTGATATCAATGAACCGGGCGTCTTACTTATCCTTTAGGCCACGACACTTCAAATTATACATGACTAAAATCACAAGAACCAAAAAAGAGTAATATCGGTGATCGTTCGCGCTGTGTACTTTTTTTTGGATTGGAGGGACGTACTTGTGGTCTGGAGGATTTCCAGCTTCAACAGTAGAGGTGGGCGAGCACAGGAGGAGTGGGATTTGCTAACTACGCGAACGTCTCTGAAGGAAGCATATGAGCTCAATAGCTCACGAATACACATACTACGGAATAGGAACCACGAACCATCTTACAGATCGTCGTGAATATTCACGCCCTATTGAAACAATCTAAAAAGCCAGTCTATGTAGGATTTGTCGATTTCTCGACAAGCTTTTCGAGTTTTTTCTAAAAGTTTCGTTCGTCAAGGATGTACTAAATAAGCGAACCTATTCGACATCTACACAGAGCTCATCATGAGAATTAAATAAGAAATGAAATAGCGAGACGAACGTTTATAGGTTCGCTATAGAAACTCGAAAAAATATTTATATATATATATATATATATATATTTTTTCCCTACATATAGTAGGGAAGCCTAGAGGGCTATTCCAGATACGCTCGGATGAGTATATGAGCTTAGGGGCTCAACCTGCGAAAATTGGCTAACACTAGTCCTGATGAGAGTGGGGCTTCGTAGAATTTACCACCAGATCGGAATAGCGACCCTACCTAAAAGATCCGGTGAGATACTCAGTGGGCTGTGTCTATGAGTCAATTCGCTCGTCGTAATCGACGAGTTCGATGAGGACGGTGACCGATGCGGGGGATCAGACAAGACATGTTTCGGGCGACGATGTATTTACTTTTCCCCATCGGCAAATCGATGGCGGCGGTCCGATAATTAACTAGCGGCGGCCTCGATAAGAGGGTTATTATGTCTCACCGCTTTGTCGAAGTAGCGTTCTGACCCTGTTTTTTTTCCGGGCCGAGGGCCGAATCTCCTACGAGGTCCCCGCGCTTAGGGTGCCTGTCCACCGGAGCGGTGCGAAGCAGCGGTGCGGAGAAAACAAAACAAAATCATAAGATTGCAAAATGATTATGTGCAATCTTATTGGTTAATATTTCTCCGTTTCTCCGCTTCGCTGCCTCGCTCCGCTCCGATGGACAGGCACCCTTAGGGGACGCTATGCAGATTGGGAGCAGACCGTGGGTCCAAGGATGTTTTAGGGCCCTACCGCACTAAACGACTCCCCTGCACTCTTAAAGCCCGACGTCCGATCTCCGTCGGAGACAGAACCCAGTCAGAGTAGGGGGGTTCCCGAGATAAACGATACAAGTAGACGCGTGGTCTCTGCGGTAAGGCAGCCCTACGTGACTGCCCGGGCGATGCCGCTTGTGTTCCGGGATACCCCGCTGGGTCAGAACCAGGAACACGATACATCGCTGACCAGGTTAGCGTTCTGACTCTACCTTAAGATACTTACCTATCGGTTCTGAATTGAAATCGTCGTGAAGGTCGACATTCCTCACCTACCACGGTGCTCCGACGGTTATCCCGTAGAAACGGGTCTGGATGACCTGGAGAGAGTTTATGTGCATGCCTGCCGCGTGAACGCACACTACACTTTCATGGATAATGACGGAACATATTATGCAATCGGTCGTCGCCGCTGCTCTAGCACGACAACGCTCAACCTCATGAGGCACAACAGATGCTCCTTAAGCTACAGGAACTAGGGTTCGAAGTTTTGCGTCATCCATTGTACTCAGCAGACCTTGCGCCGACCGACTTCTATTTTTTCCAAAGTTTGGTCATCTTTTTTTTATTGCCCTTGTAGGCAGACGAGCATACGGCCCACCTGATGGTGAGTGGTTACTGTCACTCATGGACGTCAGCAATTCCAGGGCCAGAGCCAAGCCGCTGCCTATCGTTAATACTTTAATACTGTTAAACTTGTTGGCAGGGTTAAACTTCAAATCTGAGAGGCAGCACAACATGTCTTCGAAGAGTTTGTTGACTCCCATACCCCTTATTTCTTCAGTCTTGAATTTCGCACCATCACGTAATGAGTCAATTCTTCAAGAACTGAAAATTTTAAAATAATTAAGCCTCTCCTGCTTTGTGCAGTCACGTAGCTTTCATTTTTTGGACATGTGTCGCGAGGTGGGGATATTTCGATCGAGTGCATAGTGGTACCTACAGGACAGGGTAGAGAGGGTGTCAGGCTACACAGCAAGTCTCCCGTGTGGTGGACTGACCAGGTTAATGCAGCAACGGAATTACCCTCTGTACGTAGTACCAGACGCACANTAATTAAGCCTCTCCTGCTTTGTGCAGTCACGTAGCTTTCATTTTTTGGACATGTGTCGCGAGGTGGGGATATTTCGATCGAGTGCATAGTGGTACCTACAGGACAGGGTAGAGAGGGTGTCAGGCTACACAGCAAGTCTCCCGTGTGGTGGACTGACCAGGTTAATGCAGCAACGGAATTACCCTCTGTACGTAGTACCAGACGCACATCGGAAGGGAGAAGTGGCACCGGATTTTAAAACTTGTCAGTAAAAACACGACGGCCACGATCACTCTGCCAAGAGTGTAGCAACAAAAGAGATTTATACATTACGGTAGAACCGATTATCGGCGGGAATAAGAAAGACCCTACTTTTGTGTACCTTTTTTTTTCGGGCCGGGGGCCATGCTTCCTACGAGGTCCCCGCACCTAGGGGACGCGCAGGGTATGTGAGACTGGTCCGCGACTGCGAAGTCGCGGCCCCAAGGGTGATTTCCTGAACCTACCCACTAAACGACTCCCCTGCACTCTTCGCCCAAGCGTCCCGGATGAGGTAAGGGGGTTACCGCGTTCAACACTACAACCAGATGGCGCAGCTCATTCCAAGATCGCCCGGCCGACGGAGCCTTCGAGGCGAATCGAAGGCTCTGAAACGTCGGCCGTCTCGGTGCGGCAGCCCATCGGCCCGCCCAGACGGTGCCGCTGGTGTCTCGGAATACCTCGCTGAACCAGAATCAGCCTGCCAGGTCGAGACGATACACCGCCAATCGGTTGCTCTTTTATCAGGATGTTGATATTTGTCCTTGGCGGCGCGCTAGAGTGCTGGTAGCGCGCCGCGCGGCGTCGACCCCCTCAGGTCGCCCTATGACCTTCACCGGGGGTACTTTTGTGTACCTACTAAGATCTACTTTTATGAAAATGATAAATATTGTGTGTTTGATTTTATTTCATGATATGGGGACATTGTGGGTTCAGCCGTAAGTAAAATTTAATTTCGTATTTTCGAAAAATGCGCAGTTATTTCTTGGGGTTCGATTGTTCATACATCCGTGTATCTCTGACGTCACACTCTACGCATACATTTTGCATCAATTGCACGCATTAATTAGACCCTGCATAATAATGAACGTAATAGATAAAGTAAATCTAGGCCGATTAGGGTTGGAAATCAACATATTTGGATTACGCCTGCGGTGTGCTTTTTCTGAATCGCATCAGTACATTGGGTATGCATCGATTCTGTCCATGGGTGACGGTTGCCACTTATCATATGCTAAATAATCAAGGTCTTCGATGTAATATAGCAAACTGGACTGTGTCGTTTATGTTATTTATATACTCTGGTAACTGCTCAATATCGGGTAGGTCGTGAGGTCGGCCCATCTAAGATTGTAAAATTATCATTTCATATCCACATGCTATTTTTTATTTCTATTATTGCTTAGATGGGTGGAAGAGCTCACAGCCCACCTGGTTAAGTGGTTACCATAGACATCTCCGACGCAAAATGCTAAATAATATTTTGGTTAATTGTTTTTGGAAAATGGTTAAAAAAATTACAAGTAGGACAAAGACAATAATGTTGCAATAGTCTTCCTCCTCTTCCTTGCGTCGTTCTCCTCATTACTGAGGGTCGTGATTCTCTTGCTCGTTAACTCCGCCGTTGCCGGTCCCAAGCCCGGATGAGAAAGGAGGAGGGTTGGTATAGAGGAGAACAACCCAACCGTAAATTAAAAGCGCCGAAAATCGGGCGCGGGCCAATTAACCTGACCCCTCCTACATCTGTTGGAGAGTGGGCTACAGAGACCGTGAGGAATTAAATGATCTCTAAAATTCTGCAGTGGAAGGCTCTGGGTGCCCAACACTACGTATTTACCCAGGAAAAGTCCCTTAAGATACAGTACGATTAATAGAGCAATAGTCTTAAATGACCGAATAATGCGTTTGAAAGCCTTAAAGTGGTTTATGTAGGAGTAAATCCTCATTACCGTACCAGTACTTACCGTACCAGCACTTAATATCTATGGGTATTAAAATTCGTTATACCAGTGATTCTCAAACTTTTTTGTAGAGGCATATGGATAACTACTTCAAACTTTAACAGAACAAATGAAGAAGATCAGTTTAAAAATTGTTCATTTACTATTTATACCTAAAGAAGACACTGTAAAATCATCTATGATAATAATTTGGAAAGATAAATATTTTGGCTGTACAATTTAAGAATTAGGTGGCACACAAAAGTATCCTGGCATAGCGGTTGAGAATCACTGCTTTAATACCATTGTTAGCAGTATTAATGTGTTCGAGAATCTGTAGTTCTGATTTCATATTTACTATTCGTTTCTGTTTATCTTTTAAATATTAGTTCAGGCTTTTTTGACATATTTTCCTAATTTTCGTTCTTGAGTGAGAATAAGTTGTCTAGTCCAGTCCGATGGTGGTGATTTGCAACAGAATTAAAATAATACTAGTTTGTAACATTTCTTTAAAAGAGGATACATTTAGTTCTTCTCTTACTTTTATATTCATTCTTTCTTTTGCTTTATTTTTTGTTTCTCTAATAATTTAATTTATTTTGCTGATGGGAATCTAAAGTTTGTTATCAGTTTCATATTTATTATTCTATTAGTTTATTTAAGTTGTTAGTCTTTCTTGAAATAAATAAAGTCTTCTATCACCATAAATTTTATTAATTTAGTGTTGTTTAAGGCACTCATGACTCAAATAATTAATTAAGCCTGAGACTTGCCTAAAGTGACACCACAATGTGAATCCCGCCATCCACTTCGAACCATGAAGTCGTAGTTTCATCATGTTGCCAGCTGTTTCAACCTTCAAACTGAAACGCATGAGCGCTGCGTGATGCGCGGATATATACAGTATTATACAGGGTAGCAATACTTTCCCGTGTGTGCATAACAATGCGCCTACCACCAGTAAGTAATTGAGCAAATTTATTGCGGATTTAATTCATTGCACGTTTCGTTAGATCGTAAAATTCGTTTGTAAATACGCGTCAGATTCGTATTTCCGTAATAAAATTAATAACTCCGGCACACCTTGCGCCTCATGCGATGGAGCAATGACATTGTGCCAGCTGCAAGTAGCTTGTCGACGAGATTTGCACAAAACATAGCCACCTGGAATAGTTTGAAATAAGATTTCGTGAATACAAGGGCTTACACTTAATAAATATTTATATATCTATACTAATATTATAAAGCTAAAGGGTTTGTTTGTTTGAATGCGCTAATCTCAGGAACTACTTACTGGTCCGATTTGAAAAATTCTTTCAGTGTTAGATTGAGGACTTCCATTTATTGAGGAAGGCTATAGGCTATATAACACCATGAGACCGATACAAGTGGAGCACCAATAAAAAATATATCAAAATATTTTCACTGTGTATGTAAATGAAGTGGGGGGTAAAATTTAGCGTTATGGGGTCTTGACGCCGCTCACTATGAATGGTATCACTATGTAATATGTAATAGCTATCTACGTATATTCATATAAATTTACTATTATCTGACCTAGTAGTATAAGGTCCATTATTAGAATGTCCGATGTTTGAGGGGAAAAGCGTACAAAATATATTTTCTTTAAACAATTTTCCTTCGTTGTATGGATTGATAATTAGAGACTGCGAAATAATAATAAAAAAATTTAAATTATTTTTCTAATTGATTTATCTATATTTAATTGAGTTAAAACGAAAATATTTAATTCTAAATTAGTCTGCAATTTCCAATTTCTCCAATTTTTCTAAGTTTTCCAATTTTTCAATGTTTCGTTCTGTTTATATTGTAAGGTAACTAGGAGTTTAAAATACGAGTTTAGTTTTAGTTTAATGGATAAATGAGGGGGTACGTCCCGGGAATTTACGTGCACATTCACGTCGGCGGATACGACGGAACTCGATGCAAAATACGGTTCCACTCAGTAATAAACGTGAGGCTATACGGACCGCGCGTCTCTCCTCTCTACACGTCCGCGCCAATATTCACGTAAAGTTGACAAACTTTTAAAAGAACGGCAAACGCACATTTTTTTTTAAATTCACGCAAACGGTATGATATGATGCGTATTGAATAGTAAAAAGTTTCGTTGTTCTTTGGACTTCGTCATTGTAGTCGTAGGAAGAATCTGCCAGCTGTCATTTGTTTTGATTAGTAAACGTCGCTGTGGTTCGCGATTTGCCACCGGCCCACCGTCTATTACAGGTACGAATGTGTCATATTAATAATATATTTTCATTGTTTTCTTGTTTTGTTTATTTAAATTATTAATTCTCATTATTCGACTAAGTCTTCTCCACCGAGCCCAGGAATCTCGTAGTTTACCACGCTATATACATATTTTGTTAGGTACCTAATGTAAAGTTAATAGAGTGTGATTGTTTGCTTATAAGAACTTTATGTTCCATAAATGAGTCGACTATTATCAAAGGCGGCAATCTGACTTTTGGACAATGATTGGTAAATCAGAAAAACGAATTATTGACTTTGTATTCCATTGGCAGTCACAAAACTCTTCGGAACGACATCTTAGATAAATAACAGGTTAACTATTAACCTTTATTTAATGCAGGTTTTGAACCGTATTCTTTGAAGGAGANTTCCATTGGCAGTCACAAAACTCTTCGGAACGACATCTTAGATAAATAACAGGTTAACTATTAACCTTTATTTAATGCAGGTTTTGAACCGTATTCTTTGAAGGAGACGATTATATTCAAATCAATCTGTATTGACATATCAATAACATTTTTTTGTCCAAATGCACAGATTGCCACCTTTGATAATAGACGACTCAAATAATGTATTTTTTTTGTAGTAAAGTAGTATATTGCAATATGCATTTGTAATTTAATACAAATTTCATTGCACCTACCACTATTTACTCTGCACTACCTTTGGTTGACTGGTAGAGAATGCCATGGGCATCAAGTCCGCCGATGTAAATTTTACATGAAGTGTAATAAATAAATAAGTAAATAAATTGATATTATATCAACTATAAGCTAACACGTTACTGGTGGTACTGGTGGTAGGACCTCTTGTGAGTCCGCGCGGGTAGGTACCACCGCCCTGCCTATTTCTGCCGTGAAGCAGTAATACGTTTCGGTTTGAAGGGTGGGGCAGCCGTTGTAACTATACTGAGATCTTAGAACTTATATCTCAAGGTGGGTGGCACATTTACGTCGTAGATGTCCATGGGCTCCAGTAACCACTTAACATCAGGTGGGCTGTGAGCTCGTCCACCCAACTAAGCAATAAAAAAAAAAAACGTATAAAAGAGTTTCTTTTATAAAATGAATTTTAGAAATTTTACTAAACGTATTAATTCTCCAGTTTAAAACTAGAAAAAGTAATATGTATCTATGTAATAAAAATTATCTTCGATGAAATACTAATTAAGGATACGAAATCGACACATTTGAAATTTAATATTTATTATATTAATATGATAATTTAGCTCACAGTATTGAATATCTAAACGTTATTTACATTTGTTCAAAAGGCTTAAAAGGCCGAATTGTATGATTTAAATTAAATTCAACGATATCAACTAAATGTTAAACAAGTTTTTACCACTGCAGGTACATACCTAGTGTGTAGAAAATCTTTTTTTATTTTTTTTTATTGACTCCAGTCCTATTTTATGGACAATTGGACTAGCTCACAGCACACCTGGTGTTAAGTGGTTACTGGAGCCCATAGACATCTACAACGTAAATGCGCCACCCGCCTTGAGACATAAGTTCTAAGGTCTCAGGTATAGTTACAACGGCTGCCCCACCCTTCAAACCGAAACGTATTACTGCTTCACGGCAGAAATAGGCAGGTAAATCTTGGAAAATCTAAATGATTTTATTATCATAATACATAATACTAATCAAATATAAATAATAATTTAAGGTCACGTTAACAGCGTCAATTCGAAAGTACTCTTCCGACTTTAAACCACGGCTGGATAAATAATTATTATCATTCAGCGCTTTAAAGTTTAAATAAGTCTTGCAAATGCATCTTTGTAAATATGTAAATAAAGTGTTAGTACTAACAAGTTAGAAAAGTATTACGTACAGTACGATCATTTGAATGTATTTACTAACGTTGTGTTAATGTCTTGTCACGTTTTTTTAACGAATTATATAAGATTGATGTGTCTACGAAAGATTGAAATACAATTCACTATGCAACGAATTTAGAGAGACAGATTTATTAAGGTTAATGGTAAACCAAGTAATTTATAAAAAACTATATTTGAGACCTTAGAATTTATATCTCAAGGTGGGTGGCGCATTTACGTTGTGGATGTCTATGGGCTCCAGTGACCACTTCACACCTGGTGGGCTGTGAGCTCGTCCACCCATCTAAGGAATAAAAAAATAAAAAAAATAATAAAACGACAATATTATGACCAAATAAATAAATTCAAATAGGCGGTAATTATCGTTTAAAGTAATCTATTCCAGACAAACTAAATATGTATAGTCATTAAGAAAAAAGGTAAGTAAGTTGTACTTACAATTTGCCACATTAAGAACAAATAAAAATAGGGCAATTGTTAATTAGTCTTCATACTCATCTATGTACTTATTCCTACGTACTTATTATTCAATTTAGAATAAATGGTGAACTAAATTTTTTTTACTGATTTATTAATTAATTTAATTTTAAAACTATTTTACTGTGTGAATTGTGATCGAAAAATTACCCGCTTTTATACTGGCTTATTGTGAGTAAAATCATGATGAGAATCTCAATATAATATATAATGAAAACTGTAACAATTATGTCAAATCAGTGCAGCTTCAGTTTTTTTCTTCTTTATCTTAAGGGAATGAGAAATGAATACGGTTACATATGAGGGTGTAAGCGTAGGCTGTATTTTGTAACGTTAATGGGTGATTGAGCTTATTTCGCCCACTGTGAGCGGAGCTTTAGCGGTTATCATAATGTGAGTGGACTCTCCACCTTCAGACACGAGGTTGAAGTCTCATTTTCGTTGAGCAACGGCTATCTTACCTTTCAAGCCGGAACGCATAGTAGCGTCAGAAATAGGTGGTACCTACCCACGCCAGCGTATGTTACGCCCCTCCGCCATTAAATGCCAATACGCGAGCTCTGGTACAATACTCAGCTGCCTATTCTAAGCTGAATAAATTAATCCCCTTTCACTAAACACGCGAGAAGAGGTGTGGTGGAGCCATTCCAGCTGGACAACAGTCAGCAATTTTTTATATATATTTTAGCATGTTATTATAAAATTTATTTGTTACAAAATAAGTTAAAAAAATTTCGACGCGCAATCTAGCCCGTAGACACAACTGACTGAGTTTCTCAGATCTTCTAAGTAGATCGCGATTAAGATCCGGTGGTAGAATCAGCGAAGCACTGCTCTTGCTAAGTTCAGTGCTAGCAAGTCCTCCCAGGTTGAGCCCCGCGAGCTCATCTATGAATCCGCGCGTAGTTTGTATAGCCCCTTAGGCTACCCACGATTAGGTACCTACAGAGCAACACACAAAACCGTTAGGTACCACCATTTCCAACAATTTCAGTTCGATTTGTTCTGTTAAGACACGTACTTAAATCGCAATTTAAATTAACTTATTGAGTTTTTGTACGTGTAAAAGGTTTTATTAAAATTTCCGACAACATTTGAAAATTAATGTTTTTTTTTTAATTTCATTGTTGGTATAACTGCGTCACTTAATAATAACAATCTTAACTTAATTAAAGCATGTTTCACTGAAATTACCTGTTGGAACCTGTGTTTTACTGTTTATCAATCGTGTACATCGCCCGGCTACGCAACGACGGCGACGGACATCGACGCAAGCATCAGCTATTTACGTAAGCTAGTATTATCCATAATTTTGCAATAACTCATCAGTACGATTCACTCAACCGTGATCTTTATAATTTTATACATATCAAACGAGTTACGTACTTAAATATTAGTACTAACTTCATTCTCGTTGGTTGTTTCAGCTAGGGTCAACGTACCGATACCGCAAAATGTATACAAATCGCGTTTGTCGCCATTTGTATGACCTTTTAGTCAAGAGGTCGTAGGTTTGCGTCAGGGAACTTAGCACTGTTTTCAATGACGGCGCATACGGACAGCAGCTAGCTGTGCACGCGTTTCTGTGATGTTAGAGATTTAGCATGGCTTGTGATATGGTCGAAATGAAATAGTTGTGTTCCTGTGCGAACGAAAAAACAAGTTCTGGTGGTAGGAGATATTACCGGGATAAGCAATCTTAAATGTTAAGTGCATTGTCCGATGGGCTGTGAGCCTTTCTATCTATCGCTAGTAAAAAAATAACAAAAAACAATCAGCCATTTGCGAGTGTAGAAAAGTATCAGTTCTCAAGTATACTCTATCAAAGGTTGACTTCTTAAAAGTGATGTTTAGGTTTAGTTTTTTTTTTGTTAATTTAAGAGCAAATGAGAAATAACAGTTCGGTTCAGTCAATTTTAAAAGAAAGAAAATATATGGGAATTTGAACTTAAATCTAAACAGTTTTTGAAGTAATTGTTGTCTAAAGGATATGACGTTGGGCTTACTCACTCATATTGAACGATGTGATTGCGCCAGTGTTCAAATCCAGCATAGAGGTACCAATTTTACTGGTTATCTTTTGACTTCAACCGTGTAAATTGGTTTACAGTACGCTTTTAACGCATGTTAAAGGTCATAGCGGGATTAAAATGGATAGGTTTGTTGATATTTCTGTGCAAATTTCACTTTGATGTAGTGGGTTGTGGTATACACTCTATGTTTACTTGTAGTCGCGAAAAATTAGCCAGTTTGGCGATTACTATCTAAGTGTCTACTCCACTAATATTAATCGAAATCATGTGATATGCACAAAACACATTAAGTACCTCAGTTGTATCTAGGTCATTGCCCATTTTTAAAGGGACAAAAGTCGTGAGTGTTTGATGAAGCAGGCATTTATGTAACAATGACCATTACTCTTGCCTAAAGATTATGTGAATATTTTCATTAGTACTGTTATCGGGAGCTCAGACACATTTAGATTAAGGATCAGTCTATTTTTGCAAGAAACATAGGTATATAATCATTGTTGATTTCTATTTTGACCAACGGGCATTGAAGCAATAAATTGTAATTACAAACTAATTTTTTATAGTTAATTTGAAACTTCAATCAAAAATAAATTAAACTGGAAAAAAAGTGATTTCAA